CTGAATTTAGTTCTCACAAGACAGAAAGCAATGGGGTGACCATTCCAGATATTTCACAAAGTTTTAGCCATTTTAATTAAACATTGAGGAAATGGCAAGTCATTTTCAAGTCGTAGTGTCACCCGGAACAGACAGTAGCTACAGTATTCTGTATTTATTTGTAATTATATATCTACAAGCTTTAAAGGTAAACTTACTAAAAGTGAATTAACGTTTATTATTGATTTTATCGTATTTGATGATAGTAACAGGTGCGACAATAAGGTAGATATTAACGGTTACGCGCTAAAGTGTTAGAAAAATATATCCTGGTTGAAACTGTGAGCCGAGGATCAGAATAAGGTATGTTCTATGGGTCATTTAAAATTAGATTTTATTTTACTTAGATCAAGCATTCTGGACAATATGTTCTGGAATAATTCAAGTGTGTGTAGTACTAGCGCTGTCACATATCTTTGTTTTAGTCTGATCATCTAGGGGTTGGCTTGTCTCTGAATTGGCTACTGTTGAGTGTTGTAGAGAGAAAGAGAGAGAGAGAGAGAGACGGGGAGAGTTTAATTTTCACTAAACACAAACTCGGTCAATTCGGGACTAACATATGGTTCAATTTTATTTCAATAATTCGCTTGCGCGTAGGGGTCTTTAGCAGTGAGAGGAAACCGGAGCACCAGAGAAAAACCCACGAGGTTGGACACGCGACCCTGCTCCTTGTCTATGTAACAGGAACAACGATAGTCTTTTTCTATACGTTTGTATATCACAATAGTCTACATTACAATATTTAAAATTAGCATATCTTTCAGCCCATCACACTGCTATAAAAATCTATCCAGTGTGATTAGCCTCAGGAAACCACTATGTCATATAATTACGTCTAAAGAATCCAATGCGTGTCTAACACTATTTTAGCCCTCGCTCCCTCTTTTATAGGTGCCAAACCCTAATAGATTTACGTCATAGGCCACAAACAGGTAAATTCCAAATATAGAATGGATATGCACCATACCTCGCATATCGGCAGGAATTGTTACCTAATTTGGTCAAAAAATATGATATACGTTTATAACAAAGAAAAATGTAAATCTCCAACTTATGTATTAGTTTACAGCTCACTTAACGTATCAAGCTTGCATTACTTGGTAAATTTCTTGATTATGAATTTAGAAACAATAATGTATAAAGATAACAATATTGTTTCAGCCTCAATATTCAATCAGATTAAAACACAGATCCTATTTCTTGATTATGAATTTAAAATCAATAATTCGTAGAGATAACAATATTGTTTCAGTCACCATATTGTTACATGTGTTTCATTTTACAATTTTCAAATTCGTAGCAGCCACTCACTCTCACACCAGTGTCTGTTTGAAGACGAGCGCTGATCTGATTTGCTGTGATGACACGATTTCTCAAGGCCAAGGTACGGATAAATCGATCCTGGGCTTGAGTTGTCGCCCTTGGTCGACCTGAGCGTGGTCTGTCCTGTACAGATTGTGTATCACGGTATCTGGACCATAGCCTGCTTATGACAGACTAAGAAACATTCATCGTCCGCGCCACAACCGCCTGTGTTGTGCCGATCTGTAGCATGCCAAGGGCACGTAACCTTTCATTTTGGGTAAGCCGACGCATATCAAAATTTGTTTTCTGGTCACTAAAACAATTAAACTGATGTTTCCACCGTGGAATTCAATGCCACAATGACTGTAACATTCAAAGTCAGAGTCGTGCAAATCTTGGATTGGACCCCCATGATGATCCCAAGCATCACCTGCATTCCATGCGGTAGCTATTGGTGCGTTTCAGCGTCACATGTAACTGGAAATGTTTCTTCTGTTAGGTTCTATAGTGACTTTTTTCGTAGTCATTTGCATATTTTAGTATTATGCCCCCAAAATCATATATCCCCTACTTTTTTTGAATAGTATAATATAAAAAGATATGTATATAAACTGATTTACATTCAATCGTTTTTGTTTTTATTGTAATTTCTAATCAGTTATGTTTAGCAAAATAGAATGGCAGTCTTTGGCGTCTGGCTATTCCAGTCTACATCGGTAGTATTCTCCTATAGATTATGTTTAGCCTTGTTCATCGAGTCGCTTCATTACATATGACACTCGAAAGTATTCTGGCACGCGATACGTGTGCCAATTTTAAAATTTCATGTTGTCTTAAATTTTAAATATCAGAAGTCCATCTTTACAGGATAAAATAACAACGTCAATGTTGATTTAAACCGATCAATATTTCGTGTTTGCAATGATAGTGAGTTGGAGATATGTCTCCTTTAAATAATGAATATAAAGTTAATCGTTCGTTGTCACTATATTTATTTTTTATCACAACCTGTGCTCTTAGTTTCAATGGATTGTACTAACTTTGAATCAGATTAAACATGCATTATGCAAGAGCTAAATCTGCCTATTGAAGGTCTTTCTTTAGGCCTGAAATCTTATCTAAATTATTAATTAGACATTAATTAACATATCAACTCTCGATGTCATCGCTAGCCTGTGATATTTACTGGTTTAGGACCTGATTTGCTGCTCAACTTTCATTCATGATTAAATCATGAAATTGATAATCGAGACTATGTTTTTATCGTACCGACTTTAGTAATGATGATCGAGACTAGACCGAACATTCAATCGCTAAATTCTCGGTTCAGAGTGGATCAATTTGACTGACATTTTCAGCAAATTCCCTTTACATTATCAAGTTTTTAACTATTATAGTGAGAACTGTCAGCTCTTTATCTAATCTCCCATAATGTATCTTTAAGTAATTTAGTTAAATCCATTTCGATATCTCAACTACAAATAAACCAACTGAGATAAAACGAGATAATGAACTATCCAATGTATGTAATAAAACTTAAATCGATCCACTTACCAAATCATACATACACTATATTAAATAATATAAACATATGAGCTCTGTAATAAAATACCATAATTTTACGATCAGTCAAAAATGCCACAAGCAATAAAATGTATAAGTACTAATATATTAATGGATGCATCCTGATCTTCACCGATACACCGAGGAAAAGTGCCAATAACTCACTTACATCACATTTTTATCAAGTATTGTGAAGCGAAATGTGAAAAATAGTATTTATCGGATCGTGTCAAGCGAAATATGACAAATAATTTATTTCTGCTCTTCCAGTTGTCCCTTTCTGTGGTAGAATGATTTCGCAGTGGAGAAACGACCTGCGTAGTATTAACACGTGCGTTTTGCTGCGTTACCCTGAGCGTAAAATAGTCACGTGTTTTTTTAGACTGCACTCCGTATTGAAAGAATAAGTTGTTTTGACGTAGTCGGTGAACAAAGAGCCAACGACATCGTCAAAACAACTTGTCCCTGGTTTAGAGAACTGCAATTTTATTAAACCTAATGTAAAGGATACTGTACAATGTGGGTCAATCCTGGTGAAGTGTGCATCGGCGGATGGTTCGTCCGTTGTAATTTATTTGTAATAAAATTTATGACTTTCTAGGCGTTTGTTTTCATATCCTGCTTATTTTAAATGCTTGTATAAAAGTGTTCGTTTGTCGGAAATGAACAGTACTCTTTCTGGAAAGCGTACTGTTCATTTCAGATACACGGATACTTTTATGCCTATATTGAAAATAAACAGGAAAATTTTATCAAAGGTTGCCACTGACAACGAGGTAGAAGTGGGATGTAACGTTAACCAATAAGTAAAAAATGTCCAATCCTGGCAAGCTCGCCATTACATGTCACAAAATTGGGACTATCCGTACCACATCAACAGGACACGGTATCATAAGCACAACCAGGTCACCTATAAAACATAACACAATGTTTTATAAATAACACAATGTTTTATAAATAACACAATGTTTTATAAATAATCAAAATATTGTCACGATTATCAACATAGTTAGAATTCGATATAAGAGTAGGCCATCGTGCCGTTGTCCGGGCAAAATTTTCCCTCATAGCACACTGAATGGCTTATGCTCGTCTTCATTATCCCAGTCGGAGCAGAACAGTAGGACGTTAAACCCTATTTCATTTTATTTCCTATCGTTCATTATACCACAATCACCAGATTTCGGATAAACATTTCTCAATTAACCCGCTATGCTAGTATTGAAGGGTATCGCTGCCAATATTAAATGCTGTGCGACAATGTCGTTTGCATTCATTATATGTAAAAAGTAAATTTCTTATTGTGTGCGAGGCTGATTTCCTGTTATAGTGTCGTGAATATCATCTGTTCTGACTTATAGTGTGCTGGATGTCCGTATATTTTTATAAGTCACGCGATATCCTACATTTTCATATGGAAGTTGATGCTATGTAGAAAGCGTGAAGGACAAATGGGATGTGACAGAGCGCAAAAGTAAAATGTAATGACAGAAATGAAAATGTAGACACGTCAAAAAAAGCATTTTACACAAAACATTTGTCATTTATCACTTAACATTTGACGTTTTACATTTTACTCTGGCCTTAGAGGTATTTTGACTTTATCATTACCGGTATTAGGACTTTGTACATTGTACTTTTTACATATAATCAATGGAAACGACATTGTCGCAGAGCATTTAATATTGGCAGCCATACCCTTCCATATGCTAGAGCTGAATACTTGAGAACACATTATATTTACCCAACTTACGTCGGTTGTACGTGACAAGGAGTAGGGTCGCCTGTTCAACCTCGTGGGTTTTCTCCGGGTCCTCCGGTTTCCTCCCACTGCTAAAGACCCCTACGCGCAAGCGAATTATGAAAATAAAATTGAACCATATGTTAGTCCCGAAATGACCTGGTTTGTGTCGAGTGGACGTTAACCCCCCTCTCTCTATCTCTCTCTCTCTCTCTCTCTATCTCTCCCAACTTACGTGTTCTATTAATTAACAGATTCGAGTCGTGCCTGCGAGAGGGGGTATATTTATCTCTTATCACGAGTACACAGCTTACTTTGGCAAACTGTATTATTTTCCGTTAATATATTTCAGATGACGACGAGGACGAGTACTAAGGGACAATGTCTGGTTATTTTATTGTTTGGTTCAGCAGCAATATTCTTTGTATACCTATATCCTTCAGTATCCGAGTTTTCTATTTCAAATAGAACATTGGGGACGAAACAACAGCATATTGTGGCAAGTACCCTCAAGGCACAACCCCCTGGAAAACATGTGCTTACGTTCAACACCCAAAACAATTCTATAACACGACATCACAACAATCTGACATACGTTGGTAGTGTGAAGACATCTCCACCAGACAGTTCTTCTCTTGAAGAAATGAAGAACCAGGAAGTAAAGATTATACTGTGGTATATTAAGACACGCTACACCATGCCAATATTACTACCAAAACCTTTAAACAACTGTCCCTGGAAATGTTCCATCACGACCAATCACAAATACCAAAATGAAAGTAGTGCATTATTATTTGCTGCTCAGATATTAAAAGGATCGGTGCCGTATCGTCATGATGATCAGGTGTTTGTATTTCATAATCATGAACCGGCTAATAGCCTATTAGGTCGTAGTGATATCGATAAACCCGAATGGAGATCTCAAGTTAACTGGACAATGTGGTACCGTACAGATGCTGATATTTACGAACCCTACGCTATCATCAAAAAACGAGACAATCCTCCCATACGAGATTATCATACAATTATTAAGTCGAAAACTAAAATGGTAGCTTGGTTGGTCTCAAACTGTGTTACACAATCACTCCGGGAAAAATACGTAAAGGAATTGCAGAAATACATTGATGTTGACGTGTATGGTGGATGTGGAAAATTAAAATGTGGACGCGATGACGATGAGCAGTGTATGGATATGATAAATAAAGATTATAAATTCTATCTGGCATTTGAAAACAGCCATTGCAAGGATTACGTCACAGAAAAATTCTTCCGATATTACGCGGGTGATTTTATTCTCATCGCACGTGGCGCAGCAAATTATAAAACGTTGGCGCCAAATGGAACGTTCATTGACACAGCTGACTTTAGTTCAGTTGAAAATTTAGCGAAATATCTAAAACGTTTGAATGATAATGATGAAGAATATATGTCTATTTTAAAACGTAAAGATGAATATGAAAGTTTGTTTGAAGAATATGATATAATAAAGAACAACAGAGTTGTGTACAGAACATATCATTATTTCCAACAACCAATATGCGAGTTGTGTCGACGATTGTGGAATCTCGATCAATATAGAAAGTCGTATTCGGACATAAATAAATGGTTTAGGGAAAAACTTTGTTATAAACCAACCGATATTTAATGGATTCTTGTATTCACCTTCATCTGCCTTGGGGTGGATACCCGAATGGTTAGGACGTGCGCGCTGTATCATAAGGTCTGTCATTGAATCTACTGGCGTGGTTCCGATTCTCCGGTCGTACGTGACAAGAAGTAGGGTCGCCAGTCCAACCTCTTGGGTTTTCTCCGTGTCCTCCCACTGCTAAAGACCCCTACGCGGAAGCGAATTATTGAAATAAAATGAACCATGTGTTAGTCTCCGTGCTTTAATACATTCAATTATGTTTTCAACCATCCACATATTTTTTTAAAAATTATAAATTCATTTTATCGAATCAAATTCGGGTGGGGATCTAGGCCGTTTCTGTTGCTAGCGGATACTAAGAGACGGTTTTGTTAGGGCGTTATGCGATGGATTAAGATGGCTTTGAACTATTTTATTATTTAATGTCTGTTGGCTTATTAATTCAGTTTAGCTTAAGCATGCTTTTATTATTATTCTGGGTTCATGTGTCAGATAATTTTATTTGAATTTCCTGCCACAATTTTTTGGGGCAATGTGCAAATTTTAATATACATTTAGATCGATTTTACAATGGAAGGGGGACAACTTCATTTTAATAAACTGATCAAACCTGATTATCCCCCGTCTCTTATTCTTCGACCGAATTCGTATGACTATAATCCCAGAAAAGTTTATAATGAAATGAAATGAAATGGGGTTAGACGTCCATCTGTTCTGCTCTGAACTGGGCTAATGAAGACGAATATACGCCATGCAGTGTTCTATGAGGGAAATTTTGCCCGGGCAGCGGCGCTACGGCCTACTTTTATATCGAATTCCAACTGCCAAGGGATCTTTTACGTGCACGCCAATATGTACACGGGACCTCGGTTTTTCGTCCCAACCGAACGACTAGACAGCTGTCCTTGTCAGCCCCTCCGTCCTACATAACCACGCAAATATTTTATATTTTTAGATTGTGGGAATGTGCGATGTGTATTAAAATTATACCGAGGTGTGCATGTGACTATGTACTGCTACTCCGACACGACACTGGACATTATGTAACGTTATAACGCAAATGATTTCTTTATTCTTTGGTGCCTAAAATAGATTAAAAAAACTGGATTAAAAACACATATAAGTCTATTAATGTAATATCAGTGGCATGGTCAGAGTTTAAAGGAGGTGTGTGTGGGGTTGGGTGGTGGGGTTGGGGGTTGGTGGATTTTAACCTTGATGCCCGGAGATTTAATCTGAGACCATTTCAGATTTCTGTATCTGCAAGAAAATCAGGTCAACTTTTCTTCCAAAACCCCTTTTTTTTCCAAAAGTATCGCCAGTCATTTACTTGATGGCTGAATTGTTGAATATCAAGCTATTTTTTATTAGCTGATGCGCCACGCATCTCTAGCGTCTGGTTATTCCAGCCTACACCGAGAGTATTTATTGCGCATGCTTTCCAGATAAGAATATGGCGTCCCCGTTTGACATGACTTTTGGAATATGTCTAGCCCCTTTCTTCAAGTCCCTTGTTACAAATGGCGCTGAAACGCATTATGGTACACGATTCATGTACCAATGGTCTTAAATATTGAATATTAGAAGCCCATGTTTTCACGGTAAGATCACCACATCAATATTGATTTAAATTGACCAATAATTCGTGTTTTCAATGTCGAAGATTTTGGATGATATTAAGTTAGAGACATAGCCACTTTAATTATGTTAAGAAGTCACAAACACCGAATGATAAAACTATGTATGAATTAAATTAGTATAGTGGGGGATATGGACTGCATAGACAACATTCATACATATACACTTAGACATAGTCATATACATTTAATAATACATATTACATAGACAACTCAATACATTCATAGAAACAGTACGATACATGTATATCAGAGGGGTTTCAGTTACATGTAGATTCCACCAAATTTGATTTAGCTCTCTTATCAAAAGCCAAAAACACATATAAAGTCACTGCCTTGGCAATCAATTTTGGTGGGTTAAAGAGATTAAGAAAATTGTAGGAAATCTCAGGATTTGCTGAGAAGTAGTATATGATAGCCTACGTGTATGAGAGAGAGATAGAGAGGGGGGGGGGGAGAGAGCGAGAGAGGGGGAGGGTTTAACGCCCACTCGACACTTCCGGACTAACCTATTGTTGAACAGGCGAAGCTACTTCTTGTCAAAAAGTGTATGGATTATAGACTAGTGACGAACATGATAACAGACGTGTTGTGTATATGTAGATGGCGACTTTAAAAACTATTAAATACTTTTAAGCTTTCTACTAGTGCAGTGGTTCTCAACCCTTTTTTGACAACGGCACACCTTGGAATACATGAAAAAATAATGGCACACCTGGCTAATCATATATGAAAAATATTTGAATTTTGCAAAAGAAAATGAAATGAAATGGGGTTTAACGTCCTACTGTTCTGCTCCTAACCTGGGCTAATGAAGACGGGCATACGCCATACAGTGTGCTATGAGGGAAATTTTGCCCGGACAGCGGCACTACGGCCTACTCTTATATCGAATTCCAACTGCCAAGGGATCTTTTACGTGCACGCCAATGTGTACACGGGACCTCGGTTTTTCGTCCCATCCGAACGACTAGACAGCTTTCCTTGTCAGCCCCTCCGTCCTGCATCACTGACAAGGGAGAACCACGCCGGAAAATCTGGATGAACTTTCTCGGCCAATGCAGGGATCGAACACCCGACCTCCAGGCTAGCGAGCTAGCGTCTTACCCACTTAACCACGTGATCCCCACTTTGCTAAAGAAACACACGGCAAGTCATAAAGAGAGAATAGTCATAGAATGACTCAAACTAAATAAACAAAAACACAGCTATGAATACTCAACTAGAGTCAAGTGGGTTTTCGCATTTTCTTACTGTGTCGTTCAAAATTTCGTGACACACTGGTTGCGAGAGAGAGAGAGAGAGAGAGAAATGGGGTTTAACGTCCACTCGACACAACTAGGTCATTTCGGGACTAACATATGGTTTAATTTTATTTCAATAATTCGCTTGCGCACAGGGGTCTTTAGCAGTGGGAGGAAACCGGAGGAACCGGAGAAAACCCACGAGGTTGGACAGGCGACCCTACTCCTTGTCACGTACAACCGGGGATTCGAAACCACGCCAGTCGACTCAATGACAGACTTTATGATACAGCGCGCGCACGCTAACCATTCAGCCATCCAACCCCCCACACTGGTTGCGAATCACTGTACTAGTGTATATCGTTTACATAATAACCCGGCAGTGACGGTTTTACACACAAAGATCTGACAGATCTCAGTAACAGAGTTAGTTGTATTAACTGAATGAAACAAGATGAAAACACTATATTGTTCTCTCTATATCTGAATAGCTAACCGAACGTATCAGCCATGGTAGGATTTACTACAAAGTTATTTTTTCAAGTTCCAGGGTCCCTTATCCCGTGCCATGGTAGGATTTACTTCCAGGGTCCCTAATCCCGGTGGGGGTTGGGGGGCTAGAGTGTCGCGCTTCAAACTTGGGGATAGGAACCTCTTCGGAGTCTCTGGTTTCTTCCCAGAGGAACGATCGATCGTGAGCTAAAGATCATAAAATAAGACATTTTGTCTGCGATATCACCCACAGTGGAAGAGGACATAAAACACTAATAGAAGAAGAATCTTCATATCCCAGTTTGAACCAGAACTTGGTAATTAAGTTTCAATGATGGTGTGCAATTCCAGAGGGAAATTTCCTTGGGCAGTGGCATTTATGCATACTCTTTTTTCGAACTCTAACTGAAAAGCTATATTTAACGTCTACTACCCTTTTCTAAATATCCAAACTCCTCTTTTGTATCATCCGAACGACTAGACACACGTATACGTCATACCTGACAAGTGAACGATACCTAACAGAACGATTAAACCTACATTGTTGTTATTATTATTATTATTATTCTGATCTATTTCACACCTTATAAATTAATAAAATAAAAATTCCGCGGTGAATACAAAGGTTCGGATTATAAGTGGGATTAACGACCATGGGCTTAACATATATCTACACGCATTAAGAGCAAATCTATATACGACATAAATAAAATATATCATAAAATCACCATTGACAGAATACTCCTAGAAATCATTATGACCTTCTATAATTATGGAAGACAAAACAGCTCTTTATTTTTAGTTCTTGATTCTTAGTTCTTAAATCATTAATTCTTATTTCTTGGTTTGTTGTCGTATTCGGAAGTTTTACTCTAGAATTAACAGTTGTATCTTAAAATCAATACGACAACAAATGAAGAAATAAGGACTATGAATTAAGAAATAAGGATTAAGAACATTGAATAAAGAGCTGTTTGGTCTTCCATATATAATAAGTAACTTTTATGAACCGTTATTTCTATACCTGACTTGGGGTCAATACATTATGTGCTTTCCGCAATAAAAAAACCCTATTCTTTTGTCCAGTGGATTTATGGACTGAAAGGACGTCGTTAAAACGCGGACCAAAGGTTTATATTTAACGCCCAGTCATTATTGAATTAATTGGATTTTAATCCGCGATATTTATAACATGTTTGTATATATAAAACTAGAGAGAGGTGTACGATTTTAATAGAACGTGCATTATTATTTCAACAAAAGAAATGTATGATTCGTTTAGCGATAGTTATTATGTTATGTGCAATGGGACGAGTTATGTATACCGTATAGACGTCAACAATCGTATTATTGAATCAAGACGATTAAAATCGACAGGATTAACTGTCATTCAAGACTGACGGTTACTGAGTTCAGTTTCACGATGATATAATTCTCAAGAGGAGTAGACTGACAATTACTTGATCCAGTTTTAAGACGATATCATATTTAAGTGATTAGAAGGAAAAAGAAAACATTTTGAAGAGGAGGTGTCTCGGATTATTTTGTAATGAAGATTATCTGGGTGTTAAGTTTATTTGTGATTGGTTTAGTGACGAAAGGTAGGCTTGTATATAATTATGATCACACTTCAAACTGCTTGAAAACAAAAATGATGTCAGAAGAATGTGTGTGGTTACAAAACTGTGATGATTGGTGCTATTTGGTGGTCTCATATACGTTCTTGACAACATCCCACTGCCATGGGTTCCTTGCGCTCACGTAAACCTCTACTCGGGAATTCGTTAGTTAGTGGTCCTATCTGAACGTCTAGATCAAGCTGTTCCATGCCAGCCCCCCCCCACCCCTTCCTGCACCACTGAAAAGTGGAACCAGCCATGGAAAATCCAGAGAACAACATCGCGATTGAAATCGGAAGCTCAGCGCCCTGGCTCAATGTAAGGTAAAGAAAGAGAAAATGGGGTTTACGTCCACTCGACACAAACTAGGTCATTTCGGGGCTATCATATGGTTCAGTTTTATTTCAATAATTCGCTTGCTCGTAGGGGTCTTTAGCAGTGGGAGGAAACCGGAGGTTGGACAGGCGACTCTACTCCTTGTCACTTACAACCGGGGTATCGAAACCATGCCAGACGACTCAATGACAGACCTTATGATACAACGCGCATGTACTAATCATTCGACCATCCATCCCCTCACCCCCCTTAAAAGATGTTATCGAAAAGCGTTGGATGACGCTGGCCTGTGTTGCTATATATCGTCTCAGTGAATGACACATTCAGTTAATCTTGGTAAATTCTGAACTGATATCTGTTTAGAATTATAACTTTAACAAATGTTTCATTTTATTTCTATCGTGAGTTTAACGGCGGTTCCGTTTTGTGATGGTTAATGCTAGTTTCCCACTATCACGATTCGCGCTACGATTGAAATTGTGGTTTTTTACTGTCGAGTAGTCGTGGTAATCCTATCAGGTCTTATCATATATTACGGTCAGCCGTAGCAATCGTGGTGATTGTATCGAAACGTATCCGAACGTATATGCACGTATCAGATCGTGGACTCTATAGGGACAATCCTATCGTTACGCATCGTGGGGACCTAACATTATTTGTGTAAAAGTTTCGTCTCTTGTTTCATTTTCAGTAGTGAACGGCGCCGCGCCATCTTGTGTGTCGGTCCAAAATGCAGACATTGACGTTTCCGCACCAGAAGACCATGTCGTTCTGGATTTGGGCTGCAGTGATTCCGACCCTGGTGATGTACTGACGTATACGTTTCTTGATGGGAACACAACGGATCAGTATAAAATAGAGAATGGGGTAGTTAAACTTGCCAAGAATATTACACCCCAGATTGCTTACAAATATTTGGTATGTAAAGACACAATATGTCGTATGTCATGTTAGGTAATTAAAGACACAGTATGTCGTATGCCATGTTTGGTAATTAAAGACACAGTATGTCGTATGTTATGTTTGGTAAATAAATACACAATATGTCGTATGTGATATCGAATTTTGGCAATAAAAGGGACAGCATGTCGTATGTCATGTTTGGTAAACAAATGGACAATATGTCGTATGTCATGTTTGGTAAATAAATACACAATATGTCGTATGTATTATCGAATGTTTGGTAATTAAAGGGACAATATGTCGTCTATCATGTTCGGTAATTAATTGGATAATATCTTGTATAGTGGAGTATTTATAACCTCCTCGTCAACTGAGACCCTACTTAATCCTTGTTGCTTGATGTAGGTCCACCGGTCTCACCCTGATGTAGGTCCACCCTGCCCCATCCTGAACATAATTGATTAGAAATTACACTTTCATTTTAAGAATTGAATATAAATAGTTGCTTTTTTAGACCCAATTTCGTATATTTTAAGGTTCCAAGAAATAGAGCCATGCACCCTTTAAAATATTATAATGTTTTCAGCTTGATATCCGTGTAACCGACACGACGTCCTCTACAACTGACGTATCAATACTGATCACTATATTATACAGTAATAATTATACACCTGTAGTTACCTGGCCATCCTCACCTGTAACTATCAGTGAATCAACTCCCATGGGTACACATATAGCCACCTGTACAGTAACTGATGGTGATTTATCTACCAATACTCTAGCAGGACAAACCAGGGTAGACTTCAAATCACCAGGTACATACACATCCTACCACTATAAAACAGCTCTATTTGCTTTCGATGCAATCTGATTAAAACACAGATCCTATTTCGTTTCGTTTTTTTATAGTTCAAAATTTCGTTTTACTTATCTTTACTACACTAGGATCTGGAAAAGTTATTATATAGACCGCGATCTGGGCGATGTAAGGAATTAGCCAATGAAACAATCTGTTGCCGCGAGTTCTTGGCGTGCGATGCACGGAACTGTGGGTATCCTACTAGAAACATCAACGCTGATCAGTTAATCATAGCGTTAAAAGCCGCTCGTATGAACCCTGACGCGACCTCCCGCTACAACTGGTCAGATCTTCATGTAGAAGAGGCCATCAAAAGTATAAAAAAACGAAACGAAATATAGATCTGTATTTGAATCAGATTGAATAAAGACTAGTAACTATCTAACCAGAATAACTAAAATGTTAAATTCATAATATCTCTTGACCTATGACCTTTTATGAAATTAGCCACCACGGCTCCCCATTTAATGAATATTCCGATGATTGTAATCCGTATAATAACAAGGTCTCCAAAACATTACAATCGTCTCAGAGAATATTGGAGTGTGTTCCACTCGGTTTGTTTTTGCTACTCCCAGTCAAAGGAATCGACAGACTGAGACGTCGTTAGAAATTCTTCTCATTCATGTCTGTTTATCTAAAGCTCCCGCCTCAAAATCATGAATAAAAAATAAACAACAATTTGTTCATGTTTGGGGTGTACGAGCAATCTGCTCATGTTGTGGTGTATTAATTATCTGTTCAGGTTGACTGTATGTGTACATGTTGTGGTGTATGTGTGCATGTTGGGGTGTATGTGTTATATGTTCATGTTAGGATGTACAATTTATAGCCAGAAGAACATAATTCTCAATCATGTTTATTAAGTAATCCATTTAATGGGGGATGTCTGTTTGAATTTTTTTAGAAATAGCTGCAGCTAATAAATGGGTTTTAGACAGCCATTCGTGTGAATTATACATCAACCAGGTGTTGGATTACAACACAAAGAGTAGCTATACATTAAATATGATAGTTACAGATTTAGATCCCAGATTACCGAGAACCGCGGCTACTTCCGTTACCATCTTTATTGTACCCGGATTCGATAACCCTCCGGTAAGAAATATAGTTTTTATAGGGGAGGGGAGTGGTTTTTATTCTTGTAGTTTATTTGTTTTAATTATTTATTCGCAGGATTCACTGGGGGTGGGGAATGCTTATATTATTGTCGTAGTAAAACGGTTCGCGAAGAATCAGATAAAACTGAGCTTTGGTTTTGTTATTTTGTTTCTTTTGGAATTTTCACAAATGTTATATCCCTAACATCCTTTACATTGTTCATCCCACCCCTCCCCAGTTCCTTCCCCCTTCCTGTACCATTGTTAATGGGAAGTGTCTCGACAGGACCAAGTCAGCGCTTAATCGCTGCAATAAAAGATCATCGGGTTTTTCCGGCATGGCCCCCCTTGTCAGTGGTGCAGGACAGCGGGCCTGGTAAGGGATAGCGTATATTCGTTCGGATGGGACGAAAACCGAGGCCCCGTTACACATTGGCGTGCACGTTAAAGATCCCGGCAGTTGTAATTCGATATAAGAGTAGAGCGTAATGGCGCTGTCCGGGAAAATTCTCTCTCATTGCACACTGTATTGCGTTTACCCGTCATAATAACCCCAGTCGGAGCAGGATAGTAGGACGTTAAACCCCATTTCATTTCTCACAGGAATATAGTTTCTAATATTGCAATAAGATATTTGTTTATTGTTTGTAATCAACAGACTTGTACGGATTATTTGAAAGTCGTAGCAGCAACAACAAATTCTCCACAAGGTAAAATATTATCAACACTTGATTGTCAAGATGCTGATGCTGGTCAAGGTCCTGCTGGTGAAATAACATATATATTAGATGGTATGTAATATTTCTGGCCACTATAGATAGGACAGTCTAGTTACCTTCTGGTCGATTGGTGTAACATTATCAGTTTAAAAGTCAACGCAAAAGGGACGCGACAACTCGACAGCTACTCGACAGTTACTCTTCTACAAGTCGACAGTTACCGACCACAAATCGACAGCTACTCGACCACAACTCGACAGGTCTTCGTCTACAACTCGACAGCTACTCGACAGCTACTCGACTACAGATCGGTTACTACTCGACTACAACTCTAGAGCAACTCGACTTCAACTCTAGAGCAACTCGACTTCAACTCTAGGGCAACTTATGATACAACGCACACGCCCTAGCCATTCAGCTAATCAACCCCATTAATAAAGTGGGTTAAAGCCTTGTTTAATAATTAAACATTGCAGTTATTAAAATAATGGAAATAGGGATTGAGTCTGTGTCATTTGTCAGTGAGGTACCCCTCCCAAGTAATAAACACAGTGGGGAACATCTATAGTCGGTAATTCATAATAAAATATACTATACACTCAATTGTTTTCTCAGCTTTGTTCTTCTCAGTTATAATCTCATTAATTTTCTGATACTAACCATTTATCGATTATCAATGTCTTCCACGTCGACAGCCAAACTCCAGTTTAAGCCTTAACATTGAAATATAGCCCACCAAATGTTATTCTGGTAGACTATATCTTCAATATATTATTATTACACATCTATATTAGGGATTTTATGATTCTCCTGTAACATGAGCCACCGTTTTGAATTTGCACGCCCCCCCCCACCCCCAGGCGGACTTAGCGGGCGCCTCTGGAACAGATACCCAAACTCATTGGATTCTACGGAACGCAGTCGTATGAAAAAAACCTTTAAATCGAGGTCCAAGAGAATTTGTCACCAATATTAACCAACTAAATAACCAGAAAATGTCTCGGACCATTCGACTGAATGTCAGAGTGCCATCACCCGGATTACGAATGTAAGACATATAATCCTTCAAAAACATTAGGTGGACTATCTTTCCGGGTTTGTCGACCTGCTGCCGGACAAATAGGCCTGAAGTCAATTATTATCTACGAACCAACAATTGTTTTCCTCAATACTGAAACTATACTCTTATTAATTTTCAGATACTAACGATTTATCGATTACCAATATGTTCCAAGTCAACCCTTCAGACGGATCGCTGAGCCTGAAAAGTCAGTTACCGGACACCAGACCTTTCTATGAAGTGATGATAAAAGTTCAGGATGGGGCAACTCCCAATTTATATACACATGTTTTAATACGAGTTGTCGTTACTGACGTACCACAAGATGGCGTACTGCCTCTCAGTCAATATAGCATAAGTTAGTTTAAAACTGTATTACTGTATATGGATCTAGATTCAACTAAAACATATTTTGTGTCGTTGTACCTCAACTAAAACATTGTATCTGTCGTTACTAGAGTCATGTACCTGAACTAAAACATGGTATCTGTCGTTACTAGAGTCATGTACCTCAACTAAAACATATTATCTGTACCCAACCTAAATCATATCTAGCGTCGTACTGTCGTTACTAGAGTCATTTACCCCAACTGAAACATATTATTTGTCGTTACTAGAGTCATGTACCTCAACTAAATCATATCTAGAGTCGTTATTGTCGTTACTAGAGTCATGTACCATGACCAAAACATTTTTGATGTTAGTACTTTAGGAGCAGCCATTCCTTTTGAGCAATACCCCCTTGGAAGCGGCCACAATAAATTCCCCGTAGAAATTCTTTGGTTCTATATCTCTGTAATATACGGTCACCCCTCTTTAGATAACACAATTTTATTTTCTTTTTCAGATTACACCTTCCCAAAGTTCCTGAAACCAGCACCTGTTGACACAAGGCAGATCGATCCGCTGCCAACACCCAGTACGTTATCTTATATTTTTGTTTATCATTTTATAAATGAAATGGGGTTTAATAACATCCTACTTTTCTGCTCATATTGAGCTGTTGAAGACTGGATTCAGTGTGCTATACATGGAGACATTTGTGTCCGGATAGGTGTGCCACGACTTACTATTATATCGAATAATATTTACCATGGGTTCTTTTACGTGTATGTACACGGAACCCCGGTGCTTCGGTGTGTGCGCACGACTATGCGTTGTCCCTTGCCAGGCCCTCCGTCCTGCACCACTGACAAAAGGGAACCGCGCAGGAAAATCCGGTGAACTTTCTCGGACAGCACGTGAGTTCCAGGTTAGCGAGCCAACTTCTTTCGCGCTGAATTAAACTTGATTATTTATGTATTTGGAAGCCCTTGAAATCACATCCCTGTGTTGATAAGGTGTCATGACAGATATTGGAACATTCAAGTTTAAAACTAGTTGCGATCCGCGGTAGCTTAGGGAGTAATACGCTGGCTCGATAACCAAGAGGTCTCCGATTCGCTGCCGGTGTTGGGTGAGAAAGTTCACCTGGATTTACCTTGTCAGTGGTCTAAACGGAGGGACCGTGTTTTGCGTTTGGATGGGACGGAAAACCGAGGTCCTGTTATACATTGGAGTGTAAGTCAAAAAGTTAGGCCGGGATCGAACACCCGACCTCCAGGCTAGCGAGCCAGCGTCTTACCCACTTAGTCACCATGATCCCAGGACACCCTAAAGTAGTATAAAAGAACATATACACAACTATATATTACCTCAATCTGATTAAAATACAGATCTATATTTCGTTTCGTTTTTTATACTTTCTATGGCATACACTACATGAAGATCTGACAAGTTGTAGCGATAGGTTGCGTCAGAGGTCATACGAGCGGCTTTTGACTCTATGACGTCAGACATTTGATTACCCAATCAGCATTGATGTTTCTAGTGGATTACCCACTGTTCCGTGCAAAACACGCCTAAAGCTCGCCGTAACGTACCGTTTCATTGGCTAATTCCTCACACCATCCAGAACACGTCAATGATTATAACTCTTCCAGATCCTAGTGTAGTAAAGACAAGTTAAACGAAATTTTGAACTATAAAAAACGAAACGTCTTATATTATTTTTCAGCCACGGAAGGTCTGCCATATTGTTCGCGATATGCGGTTACAGCTATGTTACCAGAATCCACAGCAATAGACGAGGCGGTTTATGATTTAGGCTGTAAGGACCCTGACGGAGATAGGCTCAATTATAAAATCATAAAAGGAAATGTGTTTCAGAAATTTAAAATAGATCTAAATGGACAGTTGAAGCTGGCTAAAACTGTAGATGCAGAAAAACGACGAAATTGGCATGTAAGTTCAATATAGCACTTGTTGTAACTATGGACATGGTCACAAATTTATGTTATATCTGGTTACAGTTGCCATGGTAAATGTATTACGACATTAACTATGTTACAGTTAACATGGTAAGGGTATTACGACATTAACCATGTTACAGTTACCGTGGTAAGGGTATTACGACATTAACCATGTTACAGTTACCATGTTAAGGGTATTACGACATTAATAAGGTTACAGTTACCATGGTAAGAGTATTACGACTGCTTTAAATATCGATCACAGTGATTGCTTAACATATCGATCATAGTGATTGCTTTATATATTGATAATATTGATTTCTTTACATGTCGTCCACAGTGATTGCTTTACATATCCATCACAGTGATTGCTTTACATATCGATCATAGTGATTGCTTTATATATATCGATCATAGTGATTGCATTACATATCGATTACATACAGTGATTGCTTTATATATCGATCGCAGTGATTGCTTTACATATCGATCACAGTGATCGCTTTACATATCAATCGCAGTGGTTGCTTTACATATCGATCGCAGTGATTGCTTTCCATATCGATCACAGTGATTGCTTTACATATCGATCATAGTGATTGCTTTACATATCGATCACAGTGATCGCTTTACATATCAATCGCAGTGGTTGCTTTACATATCGATCGCAGTGATTGCTTTCCATGTCGATCACAGTGATTGCTTTACATATCGATCATAGTGATTGCTTTACATATCGATCACAGTGATTGTTTTACATATCGATCGCAGTGATTGCTTTACATATTCTCACACCCCCTCCCTCTTCTAACCCTTCTAATGTTCGTATTTGATTTAAAGGATAATTTTCTCTTGACAATTATCAATCCGATTTAAACATAGATCCTATTTCGTTTCGTTTTCAATAGTTCAAAATTTCGCTGATTGTTAATGAAATGTCTGATGTCATAGGGTCAAAAGCCGTATGACCCCTGACGTGACCTTCCACGACAACCGGTCAGATCTTCATGTAGTAGAGGCCATCAAAAGTATTGAAAAAAAACGAAACGAAATATAGATCTGTATTTTAATGGACAATAATTTTGTTGGGGTTCTGGTTTTAGTTACGAATAACAGCAACGGACAGCAGTGTCAGTGGTTTTATCTCGACCGTAACCGTAGCCGTACAGGTGACCAATGATAACGACAATTCACCAAAAATTACTAACCTTCCTCCAACAATTGAAGTGAATGAACTTGAAGTTGTTGGTGCAGTCATCAACACGTGTATAGTTACAGATAAAGATACAGTCGCTGAACTACAGGGACAGACACGAGTTGGTTGGCCAAATTCAGGTGAGGATATTGATCTACAAACTAACTTGTTCTATTGGGTTGATCTGTGGTCATGGTCATGGTATGACGGTCTCTCGTCAAAAGGCAACATCTACTAACTCACGTTTTTCTTTTTTTGAGAAAACAAAGGAAAACGTAATGAATAAATATTAAACCCCTGCTTATGCATTGATTTGACTATTGAGTTAATAGGTTTTACTGTGGCATACTAGGCAAATGAAGGAAGTTGGAATATCTAGTACAACAACAGGAAGCACATACCCTAGTAACTACAAATTTGGTCCTAACTCAAGTTTGATAAAAAAGTGAGTTACTAGGTTTTGACTTTTGACTGGAGAGGTAGCCCAGCAACTAGAAGATCTCGTATTCGATCATGGCGAGATAGTTTTCTAGAGATTTTCTTCAAACGTCCATAACTTCCCTCAGAGTGAAGTAATTTGTCTGAAATTTTTAAGATATATTCCCTATGAATAATTAGAGAGATAACTGTCAGCTCTTTATCTAAATCTTGCATAATGCATCTTTAATATAAGTATTTAAAGATACATTATGCAAGAGCTAAATCTGCGTATTGCAGGTCTTTCTTTAGGCCTGAAATGTCATATAAACTCATCAGACATTTATTAACAAAACCAAACCATAATCGTCTCTCGATGGCATCGGATACTCGATATTTTAACTAGATTAAAACGGTTCGCCATTTAAAAATTTAATTTAAAAATGGGAAAGCGAGGCTATGACCCGATTATACCAGTGCCCTGGTGTTCACTATGCTATGCACACATCTTGTCAAAACTACAAACAATGATAACTTGGCTGAGAATTAAGTAATTTGAATGAAATTTTCAATATTTTCTTTTTTTATCACCTGCTTTTGAATTATTATAGCAAAAATGACCCACTCTTTATTAAACTCTTAACTAAAGTATCTTTAAGCGATACACGCGAACTCTTTATGAGAGAGAGAGAGAAATTGGGTTTAACGTCCACTCGACACAAACTAGGTCATTTCGGGACTAACATATGGTTTAATTTTATTTCAATAATTCGCTTGCGCGTAGGGGTCTTTAGCAGTGGGAGGAAACCGGAGGACCCGGAGAAAACCCACGAGGTTGGACAGGCGACCCTACTCCTTGTCACGTACAACCGGGGATTCGAAACCAGAACTCTTTATGTAAATCTTACATAATACATGTTTGTATTAAAGATGGTGTATATGAAACCTGGTTAGTAGACAGTGTAACATGTAAGCTGTATTTAGCTAAACCACTGGATTTTGAGACGACTACTAGCTACGTATTAACCCTGCTGGCCAGGGATTTGGACCCTGCAGCACCACTAGCTACATCGGCTAATTTTACTATTAATGTATTGGATGGTAACGATCCACCGGTAAGTCTTAATTTGTGTGTGTATGTGTGTGTGTGTGGGTGAGAGAGAGCGAGAGAGAGAGAGAGAGAGAGAGAGAGAGAGAGAGGGTTTAACGTCCACTGGACACAAACTATGTTATTTCGGGACAAAAACGTGGTTCAGTAATTCACTTGCGCGTAAGGGTCTTAAGCAGTGGGAGGAAACCCGAGGACCCGGAGAAAATCCACGAGAAACGAGAATGGACAGGGGACCCTAATCCTTGTCACGTACAACCGGGGAATCCAAACCACGGCAGTTGATTCAATGGTAGACCTTATGAAACAACCCGCACCCACGAGGGTGGATTGTGAAAATATGATCGACATTGAACGGTCAGGGTATGGGATTTTGAACTTGAAGCTGGGTTCAAATTCTTGTGTTGGACATTGTTATTTTATTTTCAAGCCCTCTGTGTCGATTCCCCGCGTGTACGTGACACGAAGTAGGTCTCCTGTTTGACCATTGCGGGGTTGGGTTGCGTCTTCCGGTATCCTGCCACTGCTATACTAGCAAGATTTTGAAATAAAATTAAACCATATGCTAGTCCCGAAATTATCTAGTTAATGTTGAGAGGACGTTGAACCCAACTACCCATTCGAATGACTATGCGTTCTCCCTTGCCAGCCCCCATATCCTGCACCACTGACAAAGGGTGGAGGTGGGGTGGGGTATGGAACACGCGTGAAAATCCCTGGGTGCTTTCTCGACCAACACTGGGATCGAACACGAGACCTCCAGGTTAGCGAGCCAGCGTCTTATTCACTGAATCACCGAGGCCCCCAAAATATGTTATATAAATATGAAATAAAATGAAATGGGGTTTAACGTCCTACTGTTCTGCTCCGAACTGGGCTAATGAAGACGAGCATACGCCATACAGTGTCCTATGAGGGAAATTTTGCCCGGACAGCGACACTACGGCCTACTCTTATATCGAATTCTAACTGTCAAGGGATCTTTTATGTGCACTCCAATGTGTACACGGGGCCTCGGTTTTTCGTCCGATCCGAACGACTAGACAGCTGTCCTTGTCAGGCCCGCCGTCCTGCATCACCGACAAGGGGGATATATAAAAATGGATATATGTATTATAATAATAATAATAATAATAATAGTAATGACGTTTCTGAGGGAACATATGCAAACCATTGAGTGTTAAATTTCCCCCTACTCTATAAAACTAGCAACTACACAGTAACAAGATATAAACATATTTACAAAGTGCATATATATCATATCATATCAGCTTATTAAGGGGAAATATCAAACAAACAAGAAAGGGCAAATAAACATACATTCAGAGGACAACAGTAATTAACAATGGTACAGGTTTAAACAGAATAATGTTTGTTTTTCCATGTAGTAACATGTATATTATATTATATGTATATTGTAGATATGTCCGATGTACCAAAGATATATTATGTTAGAAACCGATGTTATAGGAACGGATATGATCGTGGTACAATGTACGGATATTGACCTGCCCACTCCAATTATTAATTATAAAATTGATGGTAAGTTTGTTTTTTTAAAAAAAAATATCTTGTGATCGAATAAATACCAGTCATCATCACTTTTAACGGTAATTTAACATGCAATCAAATATTTAATATAAATATATTTAACATGCAATAAGACATTTAATATAAATATATTTAACATGCAATAAGACATTTAATATAGATATATTTAACATGCAATAAGACATTTGATATAGATATATTTAACATGCAATAAGACGTTTAATATAGATATATTTAACATGCAATAAGACGTTTAATATAAATATATTTAATATGCAATAAGACGTTTAATATAGTTATATTTAACATGCAATAAGAAGTTTAATATAAATATATTTAACATGCAATAAGACGTTTAATATAAATATATTTAACATGCAATAAGACGTTTAATATAGATATATTTAACATGCAATAAGACGTTTAATATAAATATATTTAACATGCAATAAGACGTTTAATATAAATATATTTAACATGCAATAAGACGTTTAATATAAATATATTTAACATGCAATAAGACGTTTAATATAGATATATTTTACATGCAATAAGACGTTTAATATAGATATATTTAATATGCAATAAGGTTTTTAGCGTAAAATAAGACGTTTAACGTAAAAATATTTAAAGCGTTTAGCGTTAATTTAACATTAGATTTTATTTTCAATAAGACGTTTAACTTTAGATTGAATGTGTAATACGGCGCTTATTAGATTTAAAATGTTAGATATATGTCAAACAACGTTTAAAATTGGGTTTGCTATGCATAAAGGCCTTTAACATTAGATTGTTAAAAAGTATGCGTTTAACATTCGATTTTTATATGTAATAAGATGTTTAACTTTCGAATCTATGTATAATGGGGCGTTTATTAGATTTAGAATGTCAGATTTCATACGTAATACGACGTTTAAAGTTTGATGTTATATGTAAAAAAGCGATTAACATTAGCTTCCATATTATCCAGTAAGGCGTTTAACGTTGGAATTTATATGTAAAATGCGTTTAAAGTTAGATTTTATTTGCTTTTAACTTTATATATATGTAAAGAAATACGCTTAACGTTACGGCTAACATAACAATGAAGACGCATTTAGCGTTAGATTTGACATGTAAACTTATAAGTTATTTATTTTTTTTTTATTCTAAGAAACACTGGAAAATAGTGTTGAACTATTATAAATGTGTGTCTGATGTCGCGAGAAATGATGCCATTTGGCGATAAAAAACCAACAGAATTACGGTGACAAATATATGGTAAAGGAGCTAAATCGCTAATATTTGGGACCTAGAAATTGACACAATGGGTCGCAACGCATAGAATATTGTAATATGAATGTATATAAACTGATTTACATTCAATCGTTTCTGTTTTTACTGTAATTTCTAAACAGTTATGTTCGGCGAAATGCATCAAAGTCTCAATTAAATGACAATCTTTACCGTCTGGTTATTCCAATCTACACCGATGGCATTTATTGCACATGCTCTTCAGATAAGATATAGCGTCACCATTTGACATGACTTGTAGAATATGTCTAGCCTCGTTCTTTGAGTTCCTTGTTCCAAATGGCTATGAAACGCATTATGGTACACCATTCGTGTACCAATGGTAAAATGTTTATTTTGTCTCGAATATTGGATATCAGAAGCCCATATTTTCCCTGTAAGATCACAAGACCAATGTTGACTGATATTGACAAATAATTCGTTTTTTCAATGTCGAAGATTTTTGATGATACTGAGTTAGAGACTTAGCTACTTTAAACCTATAATCTCCTGTTATGATTTTATTTCATTTGTGATTTATTTTACAGATAATAACAATGACTTAGTAAAAGCGAGTTTTAGTATTGACGAAACCGCTGGTTTGTTACAATTAAAAGCCAAGTTAAACTATGATGAAGCCGCCACACACCAAATTAAAATCATAGCCTATGAAAAGGATGACCCGAGTGTCAGTTCTACAACAACAGTTGAAGTGTTTGTAATTTCCAGTAGTATCGTCAACCACCCTCCGGTAAGAAAGTATTTGTAGTCCCAGCCCTTTATTACTCCCCCCCCCTCCCGCACCCACTTCCTGTATTGTCGTCAACCACCCTCCAGTAAGAAAGTATTTAATAATCCCAGCCCTTTATTACTTTCTTTCTCCCCCCCCCTACGCCCGCTCCCTTTATTGTCATCTCAACCACACTCCGGTAAGAAAGTATTTAATAATCCCAGCCCTTTATTACTTTCTTTCTCTCCCCCCCCCCCCCCAGCACCCGCTCCCTTTATTGTCGTTGTTGAGGCGCGTAGGGGGGGGGGGGGCTGACGCCCACTCGACACAAACTAGGTCATTTCGAGATTAACACATGGTTCAACCTTATTTTAATAATTCGCTTACGCGTAGAGGACTTTTAGCCGTTGGAGGAAACCGGGTGACCCGTAGAAAACCCACGAGGTTAGACAGGCGATCCTACTCCTTGCATACTATTTCGTATCAAGAATAAATGAAATGAAATGAAATGGGGTTTAACGTCCTACTGTTCTACTCCTAACCTGGGCTAATGAAGACGGGCATACGCCATACAGTGTGCTATGAGGGAAATTTTGCCCGGGCAGCGGCGCTATGGCCTACTCTTATATCGAATTCCAACCGCCAAGGGATCTTTTACGTGTATTCCAATGTATACACAGGACCTCGGTTTTTCGTCTCATCCGAAGGACTAGACAGCTGTCCTTGTCAGGCCCTCAGTTCTGCACCACTGACAAGGGGAAACCACGTCGGAAAATCCAGATGAACTTTCTCGGCCAATGCAGGGATCGAACACCCGACCTTCTCGGCTTGTGAGCCAGCGTCTTAACCACCTAGCCACCGTGGCTCCCAATCAAGAATAAAATGTTTTGTGAGCTCTGTCGTGGTTACGATATACCCTTTATTTTTATTGTAATTAATGAATATTTTTTATGGAATAATTAATAAATAAATAAATAAAATAAATAAATGGAGTGTATTTTTGCGGAACTCACTGACCGCACCACAAATAAGCAAAAAACTAAACGAGGAAATCCATCAGACAAACAGCGCTCGGGAGAGAAGTGGAGTTTAACTCCAAGTCGACACAAACTAGGTCATTTCGGGACTAACATTTTAATTTAATTTCAATAATTCGCTTGCGCGTAGGGGTCTTTAGCAGTGGGAGGAAACCGGCGGAATCGAAACCACGCCAGTTGACTCAATGACAGACCTTATGATACAACGCGCGCTACCCCCCCCCCCCACCAGACAAACATGGGATGACGACAAACAAACATGGACTTTGTAATTTAATGTAATATTTTTATATACAAGAGGTCATTTAGCTGTTTTTTATTTTCTATTATATCAGGTCTGTAGAAGTTCGACTGTTTCACTTAATGAAGTGTCACCTGTTGGTACAACTGTAGGTCGATTAGCTTGTACGGACAGTGATCCAGGAATTATTGGAGAAGTTTCCTATCAGTTAGATGGTATGTACATTTTCCTAATCATATATACAAGACATTCCCAAATACACCGTGATGTCGATAAATGCATTTAATCACGTGAAATAGGGGTTTGCCTCATACTTTTGTCCACTAACTAGGCTAATGAAGACAAACTACGTCACAGTCTTCTATGGGTGAATTTTGCACGGACAGCGGCACGATGAGGTGAATGCATTTAATCATGTGAAATAGGGGTTTGCCTCATACTTTTGTCCACCAACTAGGCTAATGAAGACAAACTACGTCACAGTCTTCTATGGGCGAATTTTGCACGGACAGCGGCACTATGAGGTGAATTTTGCCCGGGTAGCTGCATTATGGACTACTCTAATTTCGAATTCCAATCGTCACGTGTACACTTTGGCGTGCACGTAAAAGAACCCATGACATTTAGAATTCGAAATAAGAGTAGAACGTACTGCCGCTATCCAGCCCAGTTGAGGCAGAACAATGGAACGTTAAAACCCATTTTATTTAATTTATATAATTTTATTTTAATTGCAACCTTTTGTCGTGTATTTATAGATACCAACAGTGATTTAGTGAAATCAAGTTTTATGGTGACCAGTACAGGCGAAGTAAAACTCGTTTCTAGGTTAAACTATGAACAAGAGGACTCTCATCAAGTTAAAGTCATAGCCTATGATGCAGGAATACCCAGTCTCAAGTTTACAGCACTCATCTCTGTTAATGTCGAGTCTGGTACAAACAAGAACCATGCTCCGGTAAGTAAGCCCATATCCGCCATGACGGAATGTCCAGTTGAGAGAACCTCAGTACTGATTCCACCATTGCCCCTGGAGTCGGTTGTTTGTTAACCTGGAGATCCCATGGTCGATCCCAATGTTGGCCGAGAAAGTTCATCTGGATTTCCCGGTGTGGTTCCCTCTCGCCAAGGATAGAGACCCAAGCAAGGGACAATCCCTAGTCGTTCGTATTGGACGAATACCCGCGTGCGCGTTTAATATCGCTTGCCAGTAAACCGTAACGCAGCTGTCGGGGCAAAATTTTCCTCACAGTCGGAGCAAAACAGTAGGAGATTTAACACTTTATCCCATTGACGCTAACGTTAGTTCCCGGCTCTAACTTTTCCCCAATTGCATCCTCTTTACCACATGGGATGCACCATGGACATCTTTGGTAAACTGGACGTAGTATACAAGTAAATATGTAACTATTCCGCCCTACGTTTCAACGTAACCAACCTCTTAACTCTCTTTTCGTTCGGAAGGTTGGATGACCGAATGGTTAGCGCGTGCGCATTGTATCATTAGGTTTATCATTGAGTTAACTGGCGTGATTTCGATTCCCCGGTTGTACGTGACAAGGAGTAGAGTCGCCTGTGCAACTTCGAATCATTGAAATAAGGTTGAACCATATGTTAGTCCCGAAATTCCATAGTATGTATCGAGTTGACGTTAACACCCCTCTCTCTCTCTCTCTCTCTCTCTCTCTCTCTCTCTCTCTCTTCATTGTGTTGTATATTTATTATGTCTGGCCGTTCAGAACATATAGCTAAGATCAGATGCCATTCCGACTTCTTTTCAATATTCTATTGTATATTTATTAATTGTTTTAGGTCTGTCCGTTTAAAACAGTAAAGTTAGCTATAGAATCAACTGCTGGAGCACATGTTGGTGTTATAGAATGTACTGATCCAGATCAGGGTGCTGAAGGAGTTGTTTATTTCTGGATAGACCGTAAGTCGTCTATAGTTCATAACAATGATACCATCCTGTCAATTGGGTAGATCGTCTATAGTTCATAATATGATACCACCCTGTCAACTGGGTAGATCGTCTATAGTTCATAATATGATACCACCCTGTCAACTGGGTAGATCGTAGTGAGTCATCTATAGCTCATAATATGATACCATCCTGTCAATTGGGTAGATCGTCTATAGTTCATAATATGATACCATCCTGTCAATTGGGTAGATCGTCTATAGTTCATAATATGATACCATCCTGTCAACTGGGTAGATCGTCTATTCATGGGCGGACTAGGTAGCCCCGGGCCCCTCTCGGACCAACTAATTTCCTTGGTTCCACATCGCGGCGAAGAATATATCATTTTTCAGAGTCTGCTAAGATGATTTTTTTTTTTTTTTAAAAAATGAACAACATATTTATCCGACCGTGCGATAGTCTCGGGAATTCAAGCTGGGATCCAAGTTGGGACCAGATGTAGATTCAGTTCAACTCAGAAAACGGAATTGGTTATCCATGATTGATGGAAACGCATTGTTCCCCTGATTTTAAGTAGTCCGTTTGAATGACAATTTTTGTATTAGTCTATAATCTAGAATATACATTTCCGTCATGGTTTGTGTGAATATTCATGAGGATTACGTAGTAAATATCAGGCATGAAATGAGGAATCGCCTACCTATATGGGGAGTTGGATGGTCGAATGGTTAGCGTGTCATTGAGTCAGCTGGCATGGTTTCGATTCCCCGGCTATACAAGACAAGGAATAGGGTCGCCTATCCAACCTCGTGGTTTTTCTTTGGGTCCCCTGGTTTCCTCCCACTGCTAAAGACCCCTACCCGCAAGCGAATTATTAAAATAAAATTGAACCATATGTTAATCCCGAAGTGACCTAGTTTGTGTCTCGTGGACGTTACCCCTCTCTCACTCTCTCTCTCTCTCTCTCTCTCTCTCTCTCTCTCCTACCAATATGACGTCACAGCCTTAAACGTAAACTGTGATGTGTTGTTTATATTTCGTAGGAACCATGGACCGTGAGGTCAGACGAAAATTTCAAGTTAACTTCAATACTGGCGAAATAACATTAAAAGCTAACATTGATGATTTAACAGAGGAGCAATACGATGTAAAAGTAATAGCCTATGATGGTGGAATACCGGCTTCCATTGTACCGGCCACTCTACAAGTCATCATAGTCAAACCAAAGCCTAATGTCGCTATGATTGTTCGTCCTCATTTAGCCCCATTCTTTATTTCATGTGTGTTATATTATTTATTACATTAGAATTTGATCAAAACAGAAATTTACGAATATTTAATTCGAGCTTTATATTTTTTTAAACGTTACTGTTATGTGCATTGATTCGCTTTACATTAATTTTTGGTTTGTCATTTTAGCCTATATTCACCAACATAATCTCAAGGTATTACATCCCGAATACGTTGATCAGAACCTTATATTGTGGACAAAGGGGACCAGGCCCACCCAGTCATGGCCGCCATTTTGTTCAGATCACACAACAAATCTAAAATCACATATAAAATCACGTGTGTCGGCGAAAACGAACGAAATAATAGCTCTGTATAAGATATTAACAATCTATAATTTTAGCCAATGAAGCGGTCTGTTACGGCGAGTTCTTGGCGTGCGATGCACGGAACTGTGGGTAAACCACTAGAAACTTCAACGCTGATTGGTTAATCAAATTCTGACGTCATAGGTCAAAAGCCGCTCGTATGACCTCTGACGCGACCCCCACTACAAACGGTCAGATCTTCATGTAGTGTAGGCCATCGAAAGTATAAAAATAACGAAATGAAATGTAGATCTGTGTTTTAATCAGATTGTATACAGATCCAAATTGTGTTAATGTGTTTTATTTGGTTTATGTTTGTAAAGTTACGTTAATTAATGTTATTATGTAACAAAAGTTACCCGAATACAATTTGTTGACCTGAAGAAGCCTCGTCTAGAGCAAAACATCTTTTACTTCTGGACAAACCAATTGTTACTGGTACCTAGGTCCAAAGATGGCTCTTGTTCCCACCCCTCTCCCTCATCGTGATCGCATTAGACTAAATTACACTGGGTCAAGGTCGTTGTTTTATTAGCAGTATTTTAATTCAGTAATTTGGATTGATAACCGCTCTCTCTCTCTCTGATTTGTAATTACATGAATATATAAAGATAATATGGAGACAATTTTACTTCGAGGCTCGTCAACATGTATACAGTATGCCGCTTCCTATTTTAATCTTCTAAAATATTAGAACTGTGGGAAGTTCATGTTTGACCTTGCCTTTATCATAAAGATCTGTGGTTCCAATGACATTTATTCAACTCTCTAGATCAATCGGATGGCAGGGATTTAAATGGATTAGAACGCCCGCTAGATTGAAATATATAACGATATAATGGATAACCGTGACTTGGACTTGCTTGTCCAGTACTGTTGCTACGATAATAAACAATTAACGCTACTTCTTCCAACAGTCATATCTTCGCCCAAAATTGTTTCTTTTTAAACTATTAAAACCAGAGAGAGAAATGGGGTTTAACGTCCACTCGACACAAACTAGGTCATTTCGGGACTAACACATGGTTCAATTTCATTTCAAAAATTCGCTTCCGCGCAGGGGTATTTAGCAGTGGGAGGAAACCGGAGAACCCGGAGAAAACCCACGAGGTTGGACAGACGACCCTATTCCTTGTCACGTACAACCATGGAATCGAAACCATGCCAGTTGACTCATTGACAGACCTTATGATAACCAGAGAGACCAGCTTTATATTTAAGTCTTCCATAATACATCTTTAATTGATGTTTTTTTTTTCAAGCTTAGCTTTTTTAAATTTATATTTCTGTGTAAATCTTTTTTTTTATGGTCACTAATTATTTAGTTTACTAAATTGCCAAAAAAGCTATGTAGGATAAATGACCAGTATGTTTTTTTTTATTTTTATCAACACAATGTTAACCCCATGGAAAACAGAGGAGTGCAGCGTATATGACTTGATCGTGATACATTCTACAGTAGATAAATTTCATAATCTACTGCGATATCGCTTACATGAATTTGATTGGTCAGTTGAAAAGGAACTACTTTTCTATTTCTTATTAAAAGTAACTGGGGTTTTTTTTTATTAAAAATGAACTATTTTTATTTAATTGATCTTGATGGAAACACTGGGTCAATATAAAGGACTACTATGTATCACTACGCCGTAATGTAATCAGGTTCAGTAAAAGTGAAATCTACAGCAAAGAATTATATTTATTTATTTGTGCATGTAAGAAAGGATTGGGTGATAAATAAAATCTCCTACTCGTCTTTTTTGATATCAAAAAATATCAACACAAGTCGATAGAGTAAAAACAACTCGGCTCCGATTTGTTTTTACTTTATCGACTTGTGTTGATATTTTTTGATATCAAAAAAGAAATGTAGGAGATTTTCTATTTATCTTCAACACTGATACACAGAAACGATAGAAACCATTTTGTTGGACAAAAGTTGATCATGTTTTAATGAATCTGTTGTTTTTATTTTGTATGAAAAATGAAATTAAACTAAAAAATATTTTATAAACAAGTTCTTTTTAATTTATTTTAATTCCCTAATACGCCCAGAAAGACACGGTGGTTGAGATGAGTTAGGGGCTGGGTCGAGTATCAGGAAATCCTTTGTTTGATTATGATATTAGCCGAAAAAGAGGGCAAAATGTTGTTTAGCGAACGTCCACTCGACACAAATTGTGTCATTCTGGAACAAACACATTTTACAATTTTATTTCAATAATTTGTTAACGCACAGGGGTCTTTGACAGTGTGAGGAAACGGGAGAGAGAGAGAGAGAGAGAGAGAAATGGGGTTTAACGTCCACTCGACACAAATTAGGTCAATTCGGGTCTAACATATGGTTCGATTTTATTTTAACAATTAGACTGCGCGTAGGGGTCCTTATCAGTGGGAGGAAACCACTTATGATATAGCGCGCACACGCTTACCATTCAGCTATCCAACTTCCACCCCCTCCCCCAACCCCAGAAAATGGGAGAAGGCCATGCAGAGAAAACCGACGAAAAAGGTAACATAAAACAGCACTGCTTAACTCAATGATCTAAATCACACGAGTTAAAGCGTCCACCCACCCCTACGAACCCCTAACAATAACACGTAGGGCAAAGTGAATTTAGTTGTTTATTTAAATGGGGTTTAACGTCCTACTGTTCCTCTCCGACTGGGCTAGACGGGCATACGCCATATAGTGTGCTATGACGGAAATTTTGCCCGGGCAGTGACACTAAGGCCTACTTCTATATCGAATTATAACTGCCAAGAGATCTTTTACGTGCATGTCAATGTATACACGGGACCTCGGTGGTCGTCCCATCCGAACGACTAGACAGCTGTCCTTATTAAGCCCTCCGTCCTGCACCACTGACAAAGAGGAAACCACGTCGGAAAATCACGATGAATTTTCTCATCCAATGCAGGGATCGAACACACGACTTCCAGGTTAGCGAGCCAGTGTCTTACCCACTTAGCCACCGTGGCTCCATTTAATGAGAAAACAAGAATACGTAGGTCAAATATAAAATACTTTAATATCATTATCATATAACAAATAAACATTTGATCAAATAACAAAATAAATAAACACATAAATAAATATTCGATGATCCATAGTGATATTTATCAGCAGAACGGACATTTTATTTTACTCTTCTGTCAACCAGTAATCTTGGTCAACAAGACGTCCGCTCTAAACATAAGTAGTCATCACAAATGTAGGACAATTACTGATGTAATAACACAATCGGATTAAAATACAGATCTATATTTCGTTTCGTTTTTTTTATACTTTCGATGGCCTACACTACATGAACATCTCACCAGATGTTTTGGGAGGTCGCGCCAGATGACACACGAGCGGCTTTTGACCCTATGACACCAGACATGTAATTAACAAATCGGCATTAATGTTTCTAGTGGATTACCCACAGTTCCGTGCACATCACGCCAAAAACTCGCCGTAACAGACTGTTTCATTGGCTAATCCCTCACATTATCCCAATCACGTTTAAGATAACAACTCTTCCAGATCCTAGTGTAATAATGACAAGTAAAACGAAATTTTGAACTATAATAAAAACGAAACGAAATAGGATCTTTGTTTTAATCAGATTGATAAGTAGAGAATATATCGTGAATATGTATGAAAGAATTTATATCAATAATTTTAAATCAATATGAAACAACTGTGAAAGATAAATATTTAATACCAATATCAGTCATGCAATAAGAGAAAGAGAGAGATTAACATATGGTTCAATTCAGGGCTCACACTGGCTTTCAATTTTTTTTCAGCCAAAATGGATGATAATTTTTATATAAAAAAAATGTTCATATTTTTTTCCGCCAACTGGAATATTTTATTGCCAAAAATATGTGATAAAAAAGACAACACCTAACAATTTTACGTCTCGCCAAAATTATCGCCAAAATCAAATTTTTATCGCAAGTCCCGACTTTGGCGACCGACAGTGTGGGCCCTGGTTCAATTTAATTTCAATAATTCGCTTGCGCGTAGGGGTCTTTAGGAGTGGGAGGAAACGGCTGATTTTGATGGAAGAACCAATACAATATTTCATCTACCATTAACATTTTGATTCCTGTGAGTGGTTAGTGCGTCTTTCTTTAACCTTTACCGGGAGACTGTTTCAGATGGCATTATTCATCAAATTTGTTTTTACAAACTGATTTGTGTGTGATGTAGCAAAAAATGATTTGATATTCTTTTTTTAAAAACTTTTACTACATTAACACTATTTGACCTTTTGTCGGGGTCACCCGATATATCTGAACTATTAAAACTACGCGATAACAATGACAAACTTTATACCGGTTGGTTTGGTCGAGGGCCCACAAGAAGAGATACTCGACCTTGGTTGTATATAAAACGACGAATAGATGTACTGCTAATTTACAGCATGATGTTGAATAAATAAAACTGTTGAAACTGGAAGCAAATATGAGAGGTTCTTCGAGGACATTTTGGACATTGCCGACACATAAATGTTAGAATTTATATAATATCCACAAGAACAAATTTAAATTAATAATAATTTAACATTTTTACGTATTTTGCAAGAAATTACAAATGCGTTTATGAATGACGTCAATTTAGAAAGCCAAATACCAGATCAAGAGAGAAAACAGATAACCAATGAAAGCTGTGCTTAGAGTCGACGCAGCGGCCGTGACATTAACAAAAATTGTAGCTGTCACACTGAGACTGGGTGATCCGCCATCAACAACGATAACTCTTATCGTAAATAAGTTGTTTTTGTTGGCGTCCAACTCAGAGTTTAATGTGAGTCGACCAGTGCTTCTACTAACAATGAAATTCTTCTTCACTTCTTCACTGTTGGCGCCTACAAAACAAAATATAAAGTGTGTTTTTTTTTAAATGAAATGAAATAGTGTTGACTGGGATAACGAAGATGGGCGTGCGCCATACATTGGGCTATGGGGCAAATGAGGCCTGCTCTTATATCGAATTCCAACGGACACGTTTTTTTACGTGCACTAAAATATGTACAAATGACCGCGGTATGTCGTCCCATCGAAAGACTACACGTTGTCATTTGGCAGGCCAACCGTCGTGTTCCACTGAGTTTAGTGTCCACATTAAAACAATCTAGGTCATTTGGGGACTAACATAATATTCTACAGTTTTATTTCAATAATTTGCTTTGCGCGTTGGGCTCTGTAGCTTTACGGGACACAAGGGGACGCGTAGAAAACCCATGAGATTGAACAGGCGATGCTAATCATTGGGTCTAAGAAAGCACACCTCATGATTCAATGAAATATACTATGCTGTAAAGCCCATGTGTAATGAAGGGCCACATGTGATTTACGTGGTGGGGTTGGGTATTAATAGTGTATAATTTACCATCTAGTGTGTGATGAAGGGCCACATGTGATTTACTGGCTGGGGTGGGGTATTAATAGTGTATAATTTACCATCTAGTGTGTAATGAAGGGCCACATGTGATTTACTGGCTGGGGTGGGGTATTAATAGTGTATAATTTACCATCTAGTGTGTAATGAAGGGCCACATGTGATTTACTGGCTGGGGTGGGTTGGGGTGGGGTATTAATAGTGTATAATTTACCATCTAGTGTGTAATGAAGGGCCACATGTGATTTACTGGGTGGGGTGGGATGGGTTGGGGGTATTAATAGTGTATAATTTACCCTCTAGTGTGTGATGAAGGGCCACATGTGATTTACGGGGTGGGGTGGGGTATTAATAGTGTATAATTTACCATCTAGTGTGTATAAAGGACACCGTGTGATGTACTGGGTGGGGCGGGGGGGTATTAACAGTGTATAATTTACCATCTAGAGTGTAACTAACTGCCCCATTGACTCCTTCATCAACATCAGTACACACAAGTTGAGTTAATATCTTTCCTACAGTTGCAGTATCAGTTACATTTGTTTTCCTGGACGCTGGACATACCTACATAAACATATAATCACTCCAAAATTACATATCAACAACCAGGATATAAACGAGAGAGAGACAGAGAGAGAGAGAGAGACAGAGAGAGACAGAGAGAGCAAACGTATATCGTAGTTACTGTAAACGGTAAAAGAAATTCGCATAAAGATAGAGAGAGAGAAAGGAATGGGGTTTAACGACAACTCGACACAAACTATGTTATTTCGGAACTAGCACATAGTTCAATTTTATTTCAATAATTCATTTGCGCGTAGTGGTCTTTAGCAGAGGGGGGAAACGGGGGGACCCGCAGAAAACCAAGGAGGTTGGACAGACGACCCTACTCCTTGTCACGTACAACCGGGAAATCGAAACCACGCCAGTTGACTCAATGACAGACCTTATGATCAAACGCGCAGGCGTTAACCATTTGGCCAAGCAACCCCCCTAAACACAATACAATGAATGTAACAACCATGATATTAACTACCGCGATATTAACTACCTTGAACTTAACTAGCATGATATTAACTATCGCGATATTAACTACCTTGAACTTAACTAGCATGATATTAACTACCGTGATATTAACTACCTTGAACTTAACTAAGCATTATATTAACTACCGTGATATTAACTACCTTGAACTTAACTAGCATGATATTAACTACCGCGATATTAACTACCTTGAACTTAACTAGCATGATATTAACTACCGCGATATTAACTACCTTGAACTTAACTAGCACGATATTAACTACCGCGATATTAACTACCTTGAACTTAACTAGCATGATATTAACTACCGTGATATTAACGTGATATTAACTACCTTGAACTTAACTAGCATGATATTAACTACCGCGATATTAACTACCTTGAACTTAACTAGCATGATATTAACTACCGCGATATTAACTACCTTGAACTTAACTAGCATGATATTAACTACCGCGATATTAACTACCTTGAACTTAACTAGCATGGTATTAACTACCGTGATATTAACTACCTTGAAATTAACTAGCATGATATTAACGACCGTGATATTAACTACCTTGCACTTAACTAGCATGATATTAACTACCGCGATATTAACTACCTTGAACTTAACTAGCATGATATTAACTACCGCGATATTAACTACCTTGAACTTAACTAGCATGGTATTAACTACCGTGATATTAACTACCATGAACTTAACTAGCATGATATTAACTACCGCGATATTAACTACCTTGAACTTAACTAGCATGATATCAACTACCTTGAACTTAACTAGCATGGTATTAACTACCATGAAAATAAAATAGTTTTAACTCTGAGCAAACCGTTTCATCTTTAATTCACAAATTTATTCATCGACTTTTACGTCATTTAAACGCATACGCCGTTTTTAAACGCATACAAGGAACTGTCAGTACATGTAAATAAATAACCACTGCAATGGTGAATGTTCTCATTTAAACATATGTTAATTTATTAACTCACCGGGGCGTGATTGACGTCCCTGCTAAATTGGATATTTACAGTAAGAGTTGCTGTAGAAGTGAGACTTGGACTACCACCATCAGTAGCTATAATTCTAACTTGATGGGATTTCTGTTGATCATAGTTTAATATAGCCTTCAGACTAACTTCTCCTGTTGCAGTGACTTGAAATAAATTCTTGATAGTGGCGCTGTTGGTTCCTGTAGCAATATGTAAGATTACTGATAGATTACGCATGTTTATTTCACATATGAGACGTGTTACCGGGTGTTACAGAAAGTTATTGTCCACCTGCTGTCTGCATAACACCCGTCATTATCTCCACGGAGGCAAAATTCGTCTTATATAAAGGGTCATTATGGGAGGTTAGATAAAGAGCTGGCAGTTCTCAGTATAACAGTTAAAATCTAGATAATGTAAAGGGAATATGCTGAAAATTTCAGTTAAATTGATCCACTGTGAACCGAGACTTTAGCTTTTGAATTTTAGGCCTAGCCTCGATCATGATTACAAAAATCGGTACGATAAAAAAAAACATAGTCTCGATTATCCAGTTTTGAATTTAATCATCAATGAGCGTTGAGCGGCAGATCGAATTCAAATCCAGTAAATATCGCAGGCTAGCGATCACACCGAGAGTTGATTATGGTCTGGATAAGTTAAAGTCTAATTAATAGTTTATATACTCAGCCAAATTAAAAACTTGACACACGGGATTTTTGGGACTAGATTTTTAATATTTGGTTTAAGGCAACTATTTTAGTGTTATGTTGTGCACAGACGACCTTGACATCAACAGAAAGCAAGAATACGTCTCGCCGAAAGTCCTTGACATTTATAACGTTCGTGATGTCACAGTACCCCCCAAAATGAAATTCACAGACTTGGAGAACAATCGGAATAAAGTGTTTAGTAACGGTTGTGGCCTCCTCTAGCGTCTCGTACTGCTACACAACGTCTTCTCATGGATCTCAGAACATTGGTAAACACTACCCGAGGAAGACGTCGCCACTGCTCACCAAGAGCATGTTGAAGGTCCTGCAACGTCAGTGGTGGATTCACTTGCTGACGAACACGTCGTCCCAGATGTGTTCAATAGGATTAAGGTCGGGGCTAAGCGACGGCCAATCCAGGACTTGGACACCGGCATTTCTTAAAAAATTCTGGGTAGCAATTGCTGTATGGGGTCGAGCATTGTCTTGTTGAAACGTTAGTCCAGGCTTATGTCTCTGCATAAACGGAAGAAGAACAGGTTGCAAAATCTGATCCCTGTACTGGACAACATTTAAGTTCCCTTGGAAAACAACACGAGGAGAACGTCCATGTGCACAAAAAGAACCCCGAACCATGACGCTGCGGCCACCAAATCGGTCAACTTCTCTGACGCATACTTGAGCGTAACGTTCACCTCGTCTGCGGTACACTCGGGCCCTTCCATCGGCAAATCTCAAAGTGAATCGAGATTCGTCACTAAAGACAACCGAATTCCACTGTCTTTGAGTAAATCTTATGTGTCTTGTGGTCCACACAAGTCGGTTACGGCGATGAAGAGGTGTCAATATTGGTCCATTATAGGGCCTCCGAGCTCGAAGACCAGCAGTCTGCAAGCGATTTCGAACAGTTTGTGCAGTTACCCTTCCACCAAACATCTCTCTACTTGTGGAGGTTGCACTGACAAATCTGTTTCTAAGATGACGTAATCGTATTGCTTGAACTTCCTGGAGTGACGTCACACTTGGCGTTCCCGCCCTTGGGCGGTCGGCAATAGTTCCAGTTTGAAGCACTCTCATTCTAAGATTAATAATTGTCTGGCGTGAACAATTAAAGGCTCTTGCAACAGTGACCACAGACTGACCAGCATAGAGCCTACCTATAGCACGTAGACGTTCTACATTTGAAAGGCGCGGCATTTTCTAACAAAGATGAAAATAACAATTTTAATTTGTTTTTCCAGTTCAAGTTACGTGTGCGTGTTCAGTTTAAGCAAACTTGCATCGATTGACCCCACGAGTTTGTGTTTGCACGTGTTTTTCAGGTTTTTCATCTTTATATGCTCAAAAGTCACGTGATCCACGTGACTTTACAATTTTATGAAATTAAAGGCTTCTTACTACTAACTATCGTTAAAAACTCTTTAAAAATTTATTTGACTTACCAGAAAAAAATTTTTGTTGAAATTCATCAGTGTCAAGTTTTTAATTTGGCTGAGTATATAACATTTCAGGTCTAAAGAAAGGCTTGCAATAGGCTAGATTTAACTCTTACATAAATTTATGTCCAAAACAAATAGAATTACAAAAAACATCCATTATTTTTAGTTGTCGTTTTAAAATACATGCTAGAACAAATTCAATCTGATTAAAACACAGATCCTATTTCGTTTAGTTCAAAATTTCGTTTTACTTGTCTTCACACTACACTAGGAACTGGAAGAGTTGTTATATTACCAGCGTTTTGGTTGAAGTAAGGGATTAGCCAATGAAACGGTCTGTTACGGCGACTTCTTGGTGTGCCATGTACGGAACTGTGGGTAAACCACTATAAACGGGAGAGAGAAGAGAGAGAGAGAGAGAGGGAGAGAGAGAGAGAGATGGGGTTTAACGTCCACTCGACACAAACTAGGTCATTTCGGGACTAACCTATGGTTTAATTTTATTTGAATAATTTGCTTGCGCGTAGGGATCTTTAGCAGTGGGGGGAAACCGGAGGACCCGGAGAAAACCCACGAGGTTGGACAGGCGACCCTACTCCTTGTCACGTACAACCGGGGATTCGAAACCACGCCAGTTGACTCGATGACAGGCTTTATGATACAGGGCGCACGTGCTAACCATTCAGCCATCCACCCCCTCCCCCACTAAAAACGTCAAAGCTGATTAATTAATCAATATCTGACGTCATAGGGTCAAAATCCGCTCATATGTCACCTGACGCGACCTTCCAGTACAACCGGTCCGATCTTCTTGTTGTGTAGGCCATCGAAAGCATAAAAAAACGAAACGTATAGATCTGTATTTTAATCAAATTGGAACAAATTGGGCCAATATAATATATTATTAAACCGTTGATACTTACCATCTATTAGGTAGCTAATCTGACCATTCACTCCGGTATCTATATCTGTACAGGTTATAGTTGTAATGACAGTACCTATTATAGAACCTTCAGACACAGAACTATCATAATCACCAGAACATACCTAATAACAATATATAAAATAAACTTGAAATGGAATTGGCTTTAACGTTCTCTTTTGCCGCATGAATAGTTTTGATGAAGATGGGAATACGTCATGCAGTGTGCTATGAGTATTATTATTATTATTATTATTATTATTACCATCATTTATATAGCGCACGCTTTCACAAAATGTGTTCAGATGCGCTGTACAATATATATTACATAAAAAACTATAAAAAATAAAACATACGTTTAAAAATCTATAATAATTGTATAAAATTAAAACAGTAAAAATAAATCTATAAATCAAAAGCTTGTTTGAATAAAAGTGTTTTCAATTGCGATTTAAAACTCGATAAAGAGGTAGAACTTCTGAGAGTAAGTGGGAGTTTATTCCACAGTTTAGGGGCCTGCACTGTAAACGATCGTTCACCATAAGTTTTCAGTCTAGCTGTTTTACAGACAAGTGAATAATGGTCACTTGAGGACCTCAATGTACGAGTAGGGGAATATATATCTAAAAGCGACGATAAATACAACGGTGCCATATGATTTAAACATTTAAAAGTTAAAAGAATGACCTTATATTGAATTCTAAAAACAATGGGTAACCAGTGAAGTTGAATTAAAATAGGGGTGATATGATCATTATATTTACTTCTGGTAATGAGTCGAGCTGCGGCGTTCTGAACCTTTTGCAATTTATCAGTGAGACGAGATGGTAAACCAATAAGTAACGAATTACATTGATCTAATCGTGATGTGACAAGCGCCTGAACAACAGTTTTGATGGACTCAACTGGCAAATTTTTACTGATTTTACTTATATTCCTCAGTTGAAAATAACAAGATCTGCAAATATTGCTAATTTGTTTCTCCATGGATAGTTCACTGTCAAAGATAACACCAATGTTACAGACTGAAGATGTTGGGATTATTTCATGCTCACCAACTAAGAGTGAAACACCTTTATCAAACTTAGATACTAAACTGTTTGATCCAAAAAGAATGTATTCAGTCTTTTCGTCGTTCAGTTTAAGGAAATTGATTCCCATCCATACACGAATTTCAATAATACACTCTTCAATTTGATATTTTGATGTATTGAAATCTCCAGGCAGAGAGGGTTTAAACGACAGGTACAACTGAGTGTCATCTGCGTAAAGTTGGAACTGCAGACCATGTTCCCTGGATATTTGTCAATGGTTCTTTTACGTGCACGTCAATATGTACGCGAAGCTTCGATTTTTCGCTCCACCCGAACGACTAGACGCGAATCCTTTCCTTGCTATCCGCGAAACGGCGGTGGAAAATGCCGAGGAAGTTTTTCCGAACTTGCGATGCCTTGATTAGCGAGACTGCACCTTACTCCCTGTTCCAGACTAGACGCGATTCCTTTCCAGGCTGTCCGCGAAACGCCGGTGGAAAAGGCCGAGGAAGTTTTTCCGAACTTGCGATGCCTTGGTTAGTGAGCCTGCACCTTACTCCCTGTTCCAGAGTAGCTACCGATTTGATTAAAACACAGATCCTATTTCTTTTCGGTTTTTATAGTTCAAAATTTCGTTTTACTTGTCTTTACTACACTAGGATCTGAAAGAGTTGTTATATAACCCGCGTTCTTGATGAAATGGGGGATTAGCCAGAGAAATGGTCTGTTACGGGGAGTTTTTGACGTGAGGTGCACGGAACTGTGGGTAAACCACTAGAAATGCCAACGTTGATTGATTAATCAAGGTCATAAGGTCAAAAGTCGCTCGAATCACACCTGACGCGACCTTCCACTACAACCGGTCAGATTTTCATGCAGTAGAGACCATCGAAAGTATAAAAAAAACCGAAACGAAATATAGATCTGTACCCTAATACGAATATTGCAAAGTTGTAATATAATTAGGATATAATTGAAATTGAACCAAGAACCCCGTCGTTTTCTTTATAACAACATCTTGAAGATGGTTGTCTACCTTTTGTATTCTCAACATGTAACCACAAATTTAAAGTAAAGATACAGCATTTGCATTTTCCGCACGGCTTAACTTAGATTGATTATTTATAATGTCATTAAAGATACATTATGGAAGATTAGATAACGAGCTGACAGTGCACACTACAATACATGTAGTTAAAAACTAGATACTGTAAAGAGAATATTCTGAAACTTTCATCCTAAGCCAAGAAAACCTGATTTTAAAATCACTGTTACAGCTGTCATGATAATTAACAAAGTTTCGATAATCCATTTTTGCGGTTGAACAGCAGATCGGATTCAAATCCAATGAAAATCAGACACATAAGATGGCATCGTGAGTTGCTCATGGTCTTTACATGGTAACACATGTCTTATTAATAATTTATATAATATTTGAGACCTAAAGAAAGATTGAGCTCTTGCATAATGTATGTTTAAAACAAAATTAAAATATTAAAGCTTGATTGGATTTAAAATAGATCAATGATATTTCAATTCTACATATTATGATCTTTGTTTAACCATATTTGGACGGGTATTGCTATTAGAGATACGTCTTTCAAAATATATCATGAAAACTGGAAATCATTTTAATATTCAGCAAAATTCGACGGTCTGAATCGTTGCACCATCTCAGAATCGTTTATTTTGTGTATTGTTCGTGAAATCAAATAAGCTATGAAATACAGCAAAATGCGACGGTCGTAAGCATGGCACTATCTGACGTTTGCAAGCATTGCACTATCTGAATAAACGGTTACTTTATGCGTTATCGTGACCTGAAATAATTTATAATATACGGTCGTTCACCTGTCTGTGTTTTCGAGAATATCCCCTTTATGTATACATACCGGAGCGTGGTTAATATTTGTACTGATTAAAACATTAACTATAATAGTTGCTGTAGAACTGAGACTTGGACTACCACCATCAGAAGCTATAACTTTAACTTGATGTGTTTGCTGTTGATCATAGTTTAAACCCGCTGCTAGACTAACTTGTCCAGTTGAACTAACTTGAAATAAATTCTTGGTAGTAACGCTGTTAGATTCTGAATTGATAGATTAACATTACAGTAAAACATGGTAATAATTACACAGTTAAAAATAATAAGGTAGTTTACACCAGTTCGAGTGGCAACTAGTTGCCACCTATATATATAGAGGTAACTCCTAGTCTTTAGTGGTGTAAACTAATAACATTCAACTAGTGCAGAACATTACAATAATTCAGGTGGAAACTAGTTGCCACATCCAGTAGTGTAACCTGTCTGATGCACTTAGACAGTGTAATGTTACACTTCAAAAGTTTAGACCCGTAGGTGTAGATTAAGCATCCCCCCCCCCCCTTAAGGATGGTTTTGTAAATCACACTTCCATTTTAATTATTACACCAACATGGATGTAATTTGTTTCGTTAGATATTTATTTTAAGCCAACGACTTCTAAGTACAGAAAACTTGAAATTGGCTATCGGTCTCTATGATAATTAGTATAGGGCGTTTAGCCCGACCCAGATTACATTTAGACCTTCGGCTACTTCCCTTCATTTTTACAACGATCAGACTGATTCAAATTCAACTGCTGTTGGACAATTAGACAATCTGTATCAATTTACAATGAATATAAATCACGAGGACAAATCAATACACATATCTTTACAACTTAGCCGAATAATGTGATTTATTCAATTATGCACCCCACCTGAATTAAGAATTATCAATTAAGATATTGTACTTGGTAATATTTTGGAACATTTACACGTCTTTAAGTGTATACAAGCTAAAATATCTATACTTTACTCGTTATGAGTAAACACTCTAAAATGAGTTATAGTTTTGTTACTAGTGCAATTAAAGATGGGTTCCCGCGTACAAACTGGGTGATTTAATGGTATATATGGACTAAAAACATATTCAAACTAATTAATTTGTCATAACTTTGCTTCAAATCCTTCTCAAACATTGTAATTGCGAAGGAATGCCCTGCTATTAAAATTCGATCAAACCAGGTCATGTTTACGTCACGTCTTGGACGTCAGAGGAGAATTCATTGCATACATAAGACGATGTTGTCTTAAATCGCTTACTATTTATTACAAATATCGAATCCTAATTAAATTCTCGGATTATCCACTACCCGTGTCTTTTTCCGTCATTTTTATCTCAGAAAGTGTTGTACGTCTAACTCTTCATAGCGTTTATCAACTTGTACATCAAGCGCTAAATGTTCGCGTGTGACCTTTGACATCACGCGTGCAGAAAGTCTTAATCGTCGGGCTGTTGATTAGGGGAACCCTTACATTTTTGTCCTGTATACGCTCCATGAGTGTTTTTCGGGGAATCCAGTATTTTTCTAGTAAGATTGGATATCTCTACTTTCCATATATACCAAAATTGCCATACTTTTATTGGAAATAACCACCCGATAAATACTTTTCTGGGAACCCATCTTTAACGCCATATTTTACAAAAAAAAAAAAAAAAAAAAAAAAAAAAAAAAACCCTCAAATTGGAGGACACAAAATACTTTTGTAACGCAAGATACGGTGTAAAATTGACACCTTATTCGGAGGAATGTTTCCCTAATAAAAATTATACCTGTTGGTGTAAATGCAATAAAATGCTTTTAGAGGGGTAGCTCATCTCAAACACCCTTCAGCGGCTACAATTACACATTTCCCGGTGCTCAGTACTCATGAATATCGATTTCACTTTTGCAGCACAAAAAAACCGCTGTAAAATTAACGCTTTTCTATGATTTTTTCCCAATAATAGTTACACCCTTGGGTGTAAATGCAGTATAACACTGGTAGTCGTGTAGCTTATCCAACACACCCGACAATTACACCTATTCGGGTGTTCAGTAGTCATGAATATCCGTTACACTTGTTAGGTGTCGTTCTTTTAGTTGGTTACCTTTGGAAAGGTATTACATTTAAGAAACGCTAGTAGTGGTGTAAAGTTTACACTTAATTAACACTCCTTATAGATTTTAATTACACACATTTTTAACAGTGTGTATTCCAATAAATTAACAGAGAGGAGATAATGCTAGAATCACTAACACGGGAAGATAATGCTAAGACGGGGAAGATAATGCTACATTCACTTCAACGGGAAGATAATGCTACTTTCACTAAAACGGGAAGATAATGCTAAAGTGATCTGTCCATTACCACATTTTATACTTACCATCTGATCTCTAACTAATTTGTCCATTACCATATATTATATTTACCATCTGATCTATACCTAATTTGTAGATTTCCATAATTACTTACCACCTAATTTATAACTAATCTGTCCATTACCGCAAGTTATACTTACTATCTAATGCATAACTGATATGTCCATTCATTACCTTTTGTTATATTTACCATCTAAGGTATAACTGATCTGTCCATTGCCTTATGCTATACTTACCATCTAATGTATAACTAATCTGTCCATTAACACCAGCATCTGAATCAGTACAGGTTATAGTACCAACTGGTGTACCTGTTGGTGAATCTTCTGGTAGGGATACACTCTCACTTGCTGGACATACCTGTAGAAAAGGAAACGAATATTGTCAGAATAAAATATAAAAATAACCGTATTTGTGTTTGTTGTATTTGTGTATAGTTTACTGTCTTTGGCTACCACACCTGTTCTTTGGTACTTCAATATTCATTTATTCTAGATGTGGTACCTTATGAAATGGGGTATAACGTCCTAAGGTTCTGCACCGACCGGGCATACGTCATATAGAGTGTGCTATGTGGAAAATTTTGCTCGGACAGAGGCGCAACAGCCTACTCTTATTTATGGTTCTAACTCTCAAGGGTTATTTTAAGTGAACGACAATGTGTACACGGGGTCTCGTTTGTTTTTTCCATACAAACGACTAGGCACAAGATCAGTAACTACTGTTTACAAATCTTGTTATAGATGTCAATAACTGTATTTTCCACTTTCGTTATTATTGGATGAACAACAGGAATCACAGATTATACCGTAGCGCCATTGGTGGAGACGATAGGGTATTAAACCCCATTTGATAATTCTGTATTACATGTAATAAAATATCATAACAGGCCGTATGATGTTGAAATTTAATCTAGACTTTATTGGTAGTAGAATTACCATGCCTGGTTTTATATTCTGGGAAATGGTCACTCGTAGAATCACAATAAGCACATTCTTAAAATAGAGAAGGGGGGCGGCGATGGCTCAGTTAGTAAGACTGTGGAACAGTAACTTGGAGCTCCTGTGTTCGATCCCGCTTCATCAGGATTTTCCGGTGTGGCTTCCCTTTAACAGTGTTGCAAGGATAACATTATGGTCGATCGGGTGGGACGAAAAATCGGGGTCCTGCGTACACATTGGTATGCACGTAAACAGACCCTTGATAGTTGGAATTCGAAAAAATTATCCGGGCAACATTTCCCTCATAGCACACCATGTGGAGTATGCTCGTCTTCATTAGCCCACTCGGTGCAGAAATATAAAAATACCAAAGCTTACCGGAAATTTGTTATCCGTGACAACAGTTACCATGATGGTTGTTGTAAAACTAAGACTTGGACTACCACCATCATAAGCTATAACTTTAACTACGTGTGATGGTTGCTGTTCATAATCTAATCCAGTCTTTAGACTAACTTGTCCGGTTGTAGAATCGACTTGAAATATGTTCTTGGTAGTCACGAGATTAGATTCTGAAAAGATATGGAATTTGTGTTTACAAAGAAATAATTATATTGAATTGGTATAATATAATAATAATAATAATATAATAATAATAAATAACAATAATAATAATAATAATATTGTTTTTTCTAAAAATGGGGTTTAACGTCCACTCGACACAAACTAGGTCATTTCCAATAGATTTACGTTTATCAATAGAGAGAGAGAAATAGGGTTTAACGTCCACGCGACATCAAATAGGTCATTTCGGGACTAACACATAGGTCAATTTTATTTCAATAATTCGCTTGCGCGTAGGAGTCTTTAGCAGTGGAAGGAAACCGGGGGACCCGGAGAACACCCACGAGGTTGGACAGGTGACCCTACATCCAACCAGGGAATCGAAACCACACACGTGCTAACCATTCGCCCCCCCCCCGGACTGATAAGGGAAACACTAGTAGTTAAATTTTCATTAAAGGACAATATTGGTGTCAGTCATTATCACATATGTGCTACAACTGGTTAATCACGTTCCAAATATAATTTTAACACAGAGATCACTGCTACGATAGATGCGTAAAGAAGGTTTCAACAATCGGAAGTAACGAACACAAAAAAAGAAAACACGAGTAATCCCTCTGTATAACTGACTGAAGTGACGAGTGATAACAGATACACGGGCGAATTTCTGCTCACTAATAATTCCTTTAAAACAAATATTGTCCTTTAAAACAAATATTACAAATCAGTAGGTGACGACATGACAACAGACATATCGTACCACACAAGGTATTTAGACATATTTACCGTCTATCTTGAAGTATATATCAGCATTAACACCAATATCAGGATCTGTACAGTCAATAGTAGTAACAGTATTTGATGTTGGTGTTGACTCACCTAGCGTTATACTCCGACTAGAAGGACACACCTGGTAAAATTAATATACTAATATAAACTAATGATACAAGAGTTCATGGCTACAATAATCTCTTATTCAAAGATGTGCTTAAACAATCGGTTTGGTTTAAAATGGGGTTTAACGTCCTACTTTCAAGGAATCATGCCCTGTGCTGCCTCGTGGATCTGGAAAGCTCCGGGGATGGCTCAAATGATGATAATAATGGCATCGGAAGAGAGAAAATTGCAAGTGGTTGGTCTCTGTTCATTGAAAACTGATGTAAACTACAAAAGTTCCAAAAGCTTACCGGTGATTCATTAACATCAACAACTGTAACTGTTAGAGTAGCCGTAGAACTGAGATTTGGACTACCACCATCTGTAGCTATAACTAGAACTTGATGGACAGTTTGTGGATCATAGTCTAATACAGCCTTCAGACTAACTTGTCCCGTTGTTGAAGCAACTTCATATATCGATAGAACTGTAGCTGTATTAGATCCTGAAATTCAATATAAAAAAAAGCCACCTGAACTACAAATTAAAAGATTCATAAATATTTTCGTGTCTATATGGGGTTTAACGACCTACTGTTCTGCTCAGAACTGGGCTAATGAAGACGGGCGTGTCCCTAGTACATTTTATATCAGATGGTCCAGAACTAACGACTACACTATTTAAAGTGGAATAATTCAGAAAGTAGTGAAACTTTATCATTAACAAGTGCTTAGATCTATTTCGCAAGGCAATTTGCAGATTTGCCCAAGGTAATAAGATGTTAACAGGAGTAGGGCATGTGATTCTTGCCGAGGATTGTGGGTTAGGGTAAGGGTTAGGGATAGGGATAGGTCTAGGTCTTGGGTTTGGGTTAAGGATAGCGCTAGGACTGTGTGCATCTCGTGACATGAAGAAATCTGCATGCGGCCCTATGAAATAGATCTAATCTTAACAAGTGGTCAATATGTCCCCCGTTTTGGTCGTAATCGCTGTTTATACACTTCCAAACATTTCTATAAATGGTTTTGTGCGTCTTTCATAAACCCTTTTCGAGTGATCTAACGTCATCAGTATATATGAATATATATAATTGTTTGTTTATTTGTCTGTTTGGGGTTGATGTCGACTACACTAGGACTGCTCCGAGGTGCATTGTGCCACCACATTATGTTTCTGAGTTATAATATTTCTTGTTTCACTAAACTCACTATCTGAAAGTGTTAGTGGGTTCTCTTCGTGTAACTCTGGGAACACGGATAGTACAGTTTATAAATTTAACAGCGAGGTGGTTCAGTACTTTCACAAATAAAACTGGGGCCGCAGTGGCTCGGTGCGTACGACATGAGATCCCATGTTCGGTCCCTGTTTTGGCCGGAAAGGCACACAGTGATTTTGCGGTGTTGCCCCGCTTGTTAATATAGTCGCGCGGATGGGCAGAAAGACTGAGGTCCAGTGTACACATTGACATGAACCTAAAAGATCCAGTAGAAGTTAGAATTCAGTAGAAGAGTTGGCCGTAGAGCCGCTCTCTGAGCAAAGTTTCCTTTCCAGCACACTGTTTGGCGTATGTCCGTCTTCTTTGGCGCAGTCGTTGAAACGAAATGGGGTTTAACGTCCTACCGTTCTGCTCCGAACTGGTCTAATGAAGACGGACGCAGTCGTTGAAGAACCGTCGGACGTAAAACCCCATTTGTTTTTTTAAAAATAAAATAATAACACCTACCGTCGATTTTATAACTAATCTGTCCATTAACACCTGTATCTGTATCGGTACAGGTTATAGTACCAACTGGTATACCTGTCTGAGAATCTTCTTGTACTGAAACACTCTGACTTAATGGACACACCTGGAAAAAGAATATCCGATTCTGTCTAATAAGTCCAAATGTCAATTTTGAATTTCCACATAAAATTGAAATGATAATTTCTGACATTTTTTAAAAATCTGTTGGCAAAACTAGTTATTGGTGGGAGAATCAAGAATTGCAAACGATTAGTTGAAAACAAACATCCCACGAATTTTAAACTATAATATTCTAAACTAAAAAGTTTTTCAAGCTTACCGGTGATTCATTAACCTCTAGAACAGTAACTGTTAGAGTTGCCGTAGAACTGAGATTTGGACTACCACCATCTGTAGCTATAACTAGAACTTGATGGACAGTTTGTGGATCATAGTCTAATACAGCCTTCAGACTAACTTGTCCCGTTGTTGAAGCAACTTTATAAATCGATAGAACTGTAGCTGTATTAGATCCTGAAATTCAATATAAAATGAAAGCCAGTGTAAGTCACATATTAAAAGATTCATAAATATTTTCGTGTCTATATGGGGTGTAACGTCCTACTGTTCTGCTCTGATGGGGGTTGGATGGCCGAATGGTTAGCACGAGCGTGCTGTATCATAAGGCCTGTCAGTCAACTGGCGTGGTTTCGAATCCCCGGTTGTAAGTGGCAAGGATTAGGGTCGCCTGTCCAACCTCGTGGGTTTTCTCTGGGTCCTCCGATTTCCTCCCACTGCTAAAGACCCCTACGCGCAAGCGAATTATTGAAATAAAATTGAACCATGTGTTAGTCCCGAAATGACTTAGTTTTTGTCGAGTGGACGTTAACCTATTTCTCTCTCTCTCTCTGTTCTGCTCTGAACTGGGCTAATGAAGACGGACGTGTCTATAGTAAGAGATGAGATTAAATCATGTACACCTTGAAATGTATTCTAAGATACGTTGTTGGATTCTGAAATGATTTGTAAATAGATTAATATTGTCCAGATGTAGAATAAACTTCAAATGTTGCTAAAACATCGACAGAATAGCTAGCACCTGTGAATTTCCAAAATGAAATGAAATGAAATGGGGTTTAACGTCCTACTGTTCTCCTCCTAACCTGGGCTAATGAAGACGGGCATACGCCATGCAGTGTGCTATAAGGGAAATGTTGCCCGGACAGCGGCACTACGGCCTACTCTTATATCGAATTCCAACTGCCAAGGGATTTTTTACGTGCACGCCAATGTGTACACGGGACCTCGGTTTTTCGTCCCATCCGAACGACTAGACAGCTGTCCTTGTCAGGCCCTCGATCCTGCATCACTGACAAGAGGAAACCACGCCAGAAAATTTGGATGAACTTTCTCGGCAAATGCAAGGATCGAACACCCGACCTCCAGGCTAGCGAGCCAGCGTCTTACCCAGTTAGTCAAAATATAAAATCTAATGGACAAAAGAGTGGAATATTGGATGTAGAAAAATTGAGTATAACCGTCACCTAGAACCAAGGACTAAACATGGCAGGGTTTCGGGGCGTTTGGAATAGTGGGCCATGAAAAATTTATGAAACATTTTCTTTTTATTGCCTGTGGTGTTTTTCACCACAAGAGTTCCACATAGGGAGACCTGAGAAGAATTTTTTGACAAAATAATTTTATTTAAGTCCAATATGTGAATAGCATGGGAAGTAGCAAATCAATTATGAGCGGTATATTTAAACGAGGCAAAAGTTACCGTGGTTTAATTTATCTGCGCTTCCATGAATCAAATCCTTCTGGCTTAATTATACGTAGTTATATCTACCGTTGGAGCAGAACAGTAGGACGTTAAACCCCATTTCATTTCATTTCTTCATTAGCTCAGTCGGAGCAGAACAATAAGACGTTAAACCCCATTTTTTTAATTTATTCTACCTACCATCGATTTTAAAAGTAATCTGTCCATCAACACCTGTATCTGTATCAGTACAGGTAATGGTACCAACTAGTGTACCTGCTGGTGAATCTTCTGGTAGCGATACACTCTCACTTGCTGGACATACCTGGAAAATAACAGGTTCAATTAATTTCATTTAGCTAATTAAATAAGACTGCATCATTTGGACATAACGATTCAATCTCACGGCACTAATTCTAATATGGTTCTTCAAACCTAGCCGTTTCACAAATCGGTCTCGATTTGATATTGAATTGTTCTATACTTGCTATCGTGTTATGTACTTATATGTTAATGTATCTGGGCTATACTATATACCAAAAAACACCGGAAAACAACCGGAAAACTACCGAAAAACAAATGAGCATTATAGCAGTTTGAAATCTTTAGAGATATACTCTTCTTGAAATGGGGCCGTCAGATAAGCCTTCAAAAGAGAAAATGTACGTTTTTGATTTTTGTCTTAATAATGAGTAATTGCTCCACCAATCCTCAGACATTCAACAGTTCGTGGTGGCATGCTCCTAATCAATTGTCCAATCACGATTTGGGCCAATCTGATCCACTCCTCTTGCAGTGCCATGGCCAATTCTTGCAGTGTTGTCGGTTGACGTTGACGTCGACGAACACGTCTCCCGAACAAATTAAACGTGACACACTAAAGCAAAGATACGCTAAAAAGCAAATCTTATGCAAGAACCAATAGGAAAGCAAACATGGATAGATAAACCAGCACGCGGCAGTTTTCATCAACAACTCCTTTAAGTGTCAAATTTGACAATGAACCCCTCCCACGTGTATGGCGCTATTGCGTGTCGCTTGTGCAGCTCAGTGGTTCTGTTGGGGCGATAAGTTCTTCATCTGTGAACATACTCTCAAAGCCTGTCAAGTGTCCATGACTATTTATCATATCACAACCTGCATAGGTATTTGCATTTCAATATCCCCTACGTTTTTTTGAAGAGTATATAATATTTTCAACTTACCGGTGCGTCATTATCATTCATGACATTTACGACAATAGTTGCTGTAGAACTTAAACTTGGACTGCCACCATCGGTAGCTATAACCTTCACTTCATGTGATTGGTATTGTTCGTAGTCTAATGGGGATAGAAGAGTTACTAATCCATTTGTATAATCCACCCGAAAACTAGTCTTAACTACCGGAGTGTTTGTGTCTGTAAAAGAATCAAAACGGTGGTGGGTAAATAAACGGCACTTTGAGAGTGAGAAGAAGATTCCGAGTATGATTCCGAGCAATTTGATTAAAATACAGATCTATATCTGGCCGGCTGTAGTGGAAGGTCGAGTCAGGGGTCATACGGGCGGCTTTTGACCCAATGTCATCAGACATATGATTAACCAATCAGCGTTGATGTTTTTTAGAGGGTTGCCCACAGTCCCGTGCACCTCACGAGAAAAACTTCGCCGTAACAGACCATTTCATTCGCTAATCCATCACATCATCCAGAACGTGGGTTATATAACAACTCTTCCAGATCCTAGTGTAGTAAAGGCAAGTAAAACGAAATTTTGAACTATAATGGTCAATTCGGGACTGACATATATAGTGCAATTTTATTTCAATAATTCGCTTGTGCGCAGGGGTCTTTAGCAGTGGGAGGAAACCGGGGGATCCGGAGAAAACCCACGAGGTTGGACAGGTTGGACAGGCGACCCTACTCCTTGTCACGTACAACCGGGGAATCGAAGCCACACCAACTGACTCAATGACAGATCTTATGATACAAACATTTGGCTATTCAACCACCGCTCCCGCCATTGGCAGAAGGAATTTGGCAAAGATGTAGACGGAAATGCTGTTCGCCAGGCAAAATTTCCGCCTTCAAAAACTAAACCCATTTTAAAATCTCTCATTGCACACTGTATCGCGTATGCCCGTCTTCATTAGCCCAGTTCGGAGCAGAACAGTAGGACGTTAAACCCCATTTCATTTCATTTCATTATTAACACAGATTTGCTCTTAAATTATGATGGATTAATTAATATTTATTTGATTCAGCCTTCAATTTTGTAGATAAAATACTTACCGTCAATTCTAAAATATACTTGTCCTGCAGTGCCCACATCAGTATCGGTACAGGTAATGGTAGCAACTTCAATTCCTGGAGAGGAATTTTCTCCGATGTTTACAGTCTGACTGGCCGGACATACCTTGTTTAAACAATAGTCATGGGATTATATCACAGGCGTTACCATAGTGATGCTTAGTAAACGAGGCATCAATGTTAACATTTTATTAGGTTCCAATAAAATTCGAAAATTATTTTTGAAATTATTAAAAAAAATAAATGACCTATAGTGTTGGTTAGTTAATGGGGCTTCAATATTAATATTTTTTTACAGTTCAATAAAATTAAAAAATAAATGAAGCATTTTAAAGAAGATTTATATCAATCGTAGTTACAGTAAACGGTAAAACAGACGAAGATAAACAAGTCTTAATGTGTAAGAGGAGATAACCCAGGCCGTATTTATATAGAAATTCTTGATTTTTAACAAACTGATTTCGTTTTTATTTATATTGTAAATTATGGTCAACGAATGGAAATGGATATACATAGTTGTATTTTTAAGGGAGCCACGGCGGCTAAGCGAGTAAGACGCTGGCTCGCTAGCATTGAGGTGGCTGTTCGATCCCTACATTAGTCCGTGGTGCAGGGCGGAAGGCCCGACAAAGACAGCTGTCTAGTCATTCGGATGGGACGAAAAAACAAGGACCCGTGTATACATTTTCGTGCACGGAAAAGATCCCTTGGCAGTTGGAATTGGATATAGGAATAGGCCAAAGTGTTGCTGCCCGGGCCAAATGTCCCTCATAGCACATTGTGTGGCGTATGCCCGTCTTCATTAACCCCAGTCGGAGCAGAACAGTGGGGCGTTAAAACCCATCTCGTTTAAGTTGTATTTTAAACAGAGGACGTAGCCCCGAGAGCGATGTTGTCACTGTTGTGTGTTTAATAAGACGGGACCACTAGATCACGCTATCGTTTACAGTGCTGAAAGAAGGCTTTCACACCATCAGCGTGGTACAGTTTGTTTAATATTAGGACCTATTGACTGTTTTATCTAAGTGATATCAGTTGCATTCGTGACCTATCGTCAGCCATTAATAATGTTACCTCGAAGTAAGTAAACGACAACTCTTTAATTTGGAAGACATGTTTAGTAAATGTGGGAACAGGGCAAAATATGGAAATAACCGCGTTCCCATTATAGCACTACCAGTTGTTGGTTTCTATGGTGACATGCGCTCGAAACGTACACAGTGTTTTAAGATGGTGACGTAAACAATCCAATAATCCTTCTAGTTATAGAGAGAATTCAGATGTAAATTACTTACCGGTGCGCTGTTCTGGATTCTCGACACCGTAACTGATATAGTTGTTGTAAAACTGAGACTTGGACTACCACCATCATAAGCTATAATTCTCACTTCATATGATGAGTGTTGATCATAGTTTAATCCAGACTTCAGACGTAGTTGTCCAGTTGTTAAACCAACTTCAAATGTTGACAGTGTTGCAACTATGTTAGATCCTGAAACAATAAACGTTGGGTGGACTGTCAATCTTCAATACGACCCTGTAGTAACTACCCAGCTGGATACTCACATATCCCGGGTTGTGCTATGGGAATTATTTCACAGGCATAGCAGGTTGTGCGTAGTGGATATTATCACATACCAGGGTGTGCTTAGTGGATATTATCGCATCAAGGTTGTGTTCAGGAAATATTATCTCATGGATAATATTCACATCCAAGGTTGTACCATGTGTATTATCGAACATACCAGTGCTATGTGAATATTATCCCATCCTAGGTTGATCAAAGTGAACATTATCATATCTTAGGCCATGCATGGTGGATCATTCAACATGTGACGCTTCAGTTCGGAAAAACACCACAATCCAATCTAAGGCTATGTTGATAATGACAACACCATAAACAGGACTCTGAGGATATTTCCAACCCCATGCTATACTTTTGCAGAAAATGAAACATCTGAACACGAAGTCTGCAGATTAATATACCGTATTAATTATTCATTTATAACTGATTTAAATAACTTACCTTCCATCTTATAAGAAACAACGCCATTTACTCCAGCGTCATCATCTGAACACGAGAGTGTTTCTATAGTTCTTCCTACTGGTGTGTCGTCTCGTACAGACACAGCCGGATTTACTGGACAACTCTGGAAGTAACATTCTTAAATACTAATGTCTGTCAGGGTTGGAATTAACCATAGGCTTGGCAGGACGACATCTGTGACCTCAAATTTGGGGGTGGGGTTGGGGTGCATCCAGCCGTGTATGACATTTTTGACATTATCATCAACATTTAGGACACGCACTGTAGTCTTAAATACCCACCATTATACTCGATAGTGCTCACTTTTATCGTCCTCTAGTCGTTGGGTGGAAGAGCGTGGGGGCCGTATCAATGGAATAGCCGATCGGCTCTCCCCATCTCATGTATACGTCAACTATGATATATAAATACGTCATCAATGAATCAATGCCTTATATATGGCTGTGGTATGATTACTTAACCGACATGGAGCCAAGATTCAACCAATCAGATTGCAGTAGGCTAATTAGATATGCGTAGACGGCCTGCGATAAGGAAGGTATAATCCAAGTTTATAATCTGAATCCTTTACATCCATTAGGGTTAAGTTATTGCGTTTCCAGTTGGCAACATTAATATAATGCGGAGATGGCATTGATGGCGCTACTTAAGGTGAGTGACTGTGATGTATATTATGTCCATTAGACGTACAACATCACATAACTGATTAGATGGCATTGGGCTAATTAATTATACCCTAATGTGACTTAATTCTGCGTTATCAAAATAAATCCATCAGAAGTAAAAATACGGTGGTTGTGGTTCAAAAGTTAGGCAATAGATTAATTGAATCTGCGCGGATGAGGTTGATTTGAATACTGAAGCCCAGAAACCCCAATTTATTAACCTCTTGCCTTCGCTGAAAACAATTCATACTTCATTTAAAGTCCACTTCCACCGAAGTGATATCGACTTACCGGGGCTTCATTTATATCCGTTACAGTAACCTGTATAGTTGATGTAAAACTAAGACTTGGACTACCACCATCATAAGCTACCACTTGAACTTGATACGATGTCTGTTGTTCGTAGTTTAACCCAGATTTTAAACTAACTTGGCCAGTTGTTGGGTTTACTTCAAATATTGTTTTCACTACATCACTGTTAGATTCTACTCAAAATAACAAAATTTAACCAGTCATCATATTCAGAGAGAGAGAGAGAATGGGAGAGAGAGAGATAGAGAGAGAGAGAGATGGGAGAGAGAGAGAGATAGAGAGAGAATGGGAGGGAGAGAGAGAGAGAGAGAGAGAGAGAATGGGAGAGAGAGAGAGATAGAGAGAGAGGGGTGGTTAACGTCCATTGACACAAACTAGGTCATTTTGGGACTAACGTATGGTTCAATTTTATTTCAATAATTCACTTGTGCGTTGGGTCTTTAGCAGTGAGAGGAGAGAGAGAGAGAGAAATTGGGTTTAACGTCCACTCGACACAAACTAGGTCATTTCGGGACTAACATATGGTTCAATTAAATTTCAATTATTCGCTTGCGCGTAGGGGTCTTTAGCAGTGGGAGGAAACCGGAGGACCCGGAAAAACCCACGAGGTTATACAGGACACCCAACTCCTTGCCACGTACAACCGGGGAATCGACTCAATGTTGACTCAATGACAGACCGTATGATACAGCGCGCGCGTGCTAATCATTCGGCCATCCAACTCCCAAGCAGTGAGAGTAAACTCATCATATTCAATAGACACCATAATTATGTAATTTGCATATAACACTTATACACATAGCTCTATGTATGCAAAGAATTGAAATGAGGTTTCTGGCCTACTGTACTCACGGAGACACCGTGTACTCTCTCCACAGCTAAATCTATTTGTTAAGGCCAGCTCATTTTTCGTCAAGGTCGATGAGATGTAAATAGGGCACGTGATTTTTGGCGAGATTGTAGGTTAAGGTTAGGATACGCATTGGGACTTGGTCCAGGGTTACGGTTGGGATTAGCGCTAACCCTGTTTACATCTCGTGACCTATGACGAAGAATTGAGATGGCCTTATCATTTAGCACTAACCCTCTCCCCACCCCATTAAATCAGCATCGGTTTCAATCAAATTGAATAATTTGAAATAAGTAATTTTAGCTGCTATTCTAGTACTGTGATAACTTACCACCAATCTTAAAAAACACTTGACCTTTGACACCAGTATCTGCATCAGTGCATGTAACCGTGGTTACGCCGGTTCCCACTCCGCGGTTTTCAGATAAACTTATACTCTGACTCACGTCACAAACCTGGATAAACAAGACACAAATTATAAACATCCAGACACTTGCAGCAGATTTGCAAAATTATGCGAATGTGTTATAAAATGTTTGTTCTACACAATTTTTTATTTATTTTATAACTAAGTTACGGTTTATAATTTATATTGTTAGTGTATAATGTTTAATATACCTTTTCTTAGAATTCGGTCGAATGACCTTTTACCACAGATCTGTACTGAGGACAGAAGAAAAAGTACGGTGGATGCTATATCGTCGATCTCATTATCCAGAAAAAGGGGCGGAACTTGTCATTGGTCCTCGGGATATGAATACTAATATATTAGTCAGGCGGACCTGTAGGGGTCAATAAAATACCTGCGATTAAATAATGTTTTAAGCATACCGGATGTTCGTTATCATCAGCAACATTAACCATTATAGTTGAGGTAAAACTCAGACTTGGACTACCACCATCATAGGCTATAACTTTAACTTGGTGTGATGATTGTTGGTCAAAGTCTAATCCAGATGTTAGACTAACTTGTCCGGACGTCGGATTAACTTCAAAAATAGATTTGGTAGCGGCACTGTTTGTATCTGAAACAATGAGTAATGCAGGTTAAATATATTTTGAGTCTGAGGATGAGACAATGAGTAAGGCAGGTTCAATGTATTTCGAGCCTGAGGATACGTGGACCCTTGCAATAGGCTGTAAATAAACAGGCGCATGTTTCTACCACTCCAAGTTCATGTCTCCGATATCACTGTCGTGGATGAAAACAGTAAACCGTCAGCTACTAGTACTACTCCTATTACTAGGAAAGGGGCGAGTAAAGGTAGTGGGAGAGGGGGCGATTGGCAACAAGGCGACATGCACTCAATTGAGTCTCAAAGGCTGAACAAACCAATTACAATGATATAGGCGGAGTGTGTAGACTTCGGTACAGTAGTCCCCATTGCGTTAAGTCTGCTAATGCTATATTTACATCATGTATATAATACATGAAGGAACATACAGTATATATTGTCTATTGATATAAAGGAACAATGATGTAGATTTATATCACTGGTCGTTTTATTACTCACCATCTAGTTTATAAGATAGCTGACCATCAGTACCTGTATCAATATCTGTACAAGACAGAGTTTTAACACCTGATCCTATTGGTGAAGTTTCACCCATGTTAGCAGTTAGACTACTACTAGGACATACCTACAAGATTATTAACATCTATTACATATACAATACATATTCAATAAATCAAAAATAAGTTATATTTATAGCACGGCTTTCATGAGTAAACAGGTTTAAACATCGAGACCGTTATTGTTGTTATTGTACAGAAAACCCACCCCACTTCTTGATATGATTTCTACTAAAACTAGCGTAAACCAACAACAGAGTGCAATAACATTGAACGTGTCTAGTTATTGCACGGTTAAGCTCCACCCAATCTACTAGAGTGAAAACAATCTGCTTATTCAACGAAAAGAACAAAGAAAGATTTCCCGTCCATGTTACAAATAATATTAATACCCATTACATATTCAATAAATGAAAATCAATAATACCTATTACGCCGTGTAATATCAAAATAATCACTAATATCATATGTATGTATGTTGTATGTACTTATGTAAATAAAAATTACTAAAGAAATCTAATAGATATTGTGTTCCTTTTTGGGGGGCGGAAAAAATATATGGCTTATAAATTAAAATGAAAAGTTGGCGGAAAAAAATGGAACCCAGAGTGAGCAATGATAATAACCATCACATATTCAATAAATCAATAATACCCATTACATATTCATTACATCTAGTACATATAAAACTACAATTATTCCATCATTGCGAAATATTTAAAACCTATTCTTTTTTATTTATTTGTATGTGTTTATACTTTCAATCAAAACAAATCTATAAAAACAACATCAAACTGGCGGTAATGAAGACACCAATACTGTATTTATATAAATAAGTTATATCCAGCGTTCATGAATTAAAGTAAATTAGCTGCCTTACTGGTGGTCTATTAACGTTTAAAACAGTAATAGTTAAAGTTGTTGTAGAACTAAGACTAGGGTTACCACCATCAGAAGCTATGACTGTAAGCTGGTGGGATGATTGTTGATCATAATTTAATCCAGCTGCTAGTGTAACCGTGTTGGATCCAATTTGAAATTTAGACAGGTCACTAGTAGATCCTTGAATAGAAAATATACTTATTAAAGATACATTATGGGAGATTTTTATAGAGAGTTGGCCATTCTTGCTATAACAGTTCAAAAGTAGATGATGAAAGAAGATAATATTGAAAATTTCAGTCAAATTACTTTATTCTGAACATAGTTATCATCGTTGTAATATTTGCCTAGAAGTGGTAGCGAAATGCGTCTTCACCTTGGCCGACCGTTTGATTGACAGGCGTTAACTCCACTACATATCTCGATTATCAAGTAAAGTTTTCAATGGCATACGGAAACGCTTTACAGCGGCCTTGCTAAGTACACTCTATCATTTAGCCTCGATCTAACTGACGTATTTTCATCAGGTTGCCCCATACTTGATTTAATCAATTAGTGAAATCCTATTTAAATCCGAGCTGTAGTCGAGTCATCCGTGGGTCGACAGAGTTGAATTTGGGCTTGTTGTTTCAATAAAGATCTAATTTATAATTTCTATAACATCTGAAGCCTAAATTAAGACTTACAATAATCAGATTTAGCTCTTGCATAATGCATGTTTAAGTCATATTATGATGAAAAATCACCTAGATTCTAAATAAGTGAAAATAGTTTAAACAAAACGAAAAATATTTTCACAGGCATATCCTTTGTTTACGCCATATCCAAAAGATTTGACTTGCATATCGTTTGTGGGTATTATGTACCCTGGATCGTTACAAAAACATTTCTAGTGACATGAGTTAGTCTTGGTTCATTGAAAAAGTGTGTTGTATTCGCAAGGTGGTTAAGTGGCCTAATCAGTCAACCATCGTGGTTACCATCTCATGCTTTAACATGTCAGAATGTAGAGCTGCTCGCTTGCGTTCTGGATTTTCTCCACATTCCTTCGTCTGCTTAAGAGCTATGTACATACATGTAAGTCCAATAATGATGTATTCTGTGTTTATTTAAATCGTAAGATGTCCTTACCATCTAAGGTATAAGTAATCTGTCCATTAACACCAGCATCTGGATCAGTACAGGTTATAGTACCAACTGGTGTACCTGTTGGTGAATCTTCTGGTAGGGATACACTCTCACTTGCTGGACATACCTGGAAATACAATTTGAATTATTTTCATCATCTGGAAATTGCGAGTCAATCGCACAGAACACGCAACTAATTTTGGTCTGGTTCTTTAACAACGATGATGCAACTCTGATCCCATTAGCTGCCCCACATATACAAGGTGTTTACACACTGTTGTATACTTTACAAACTTATATTGAAATATGGTTTAGGCCTTTGTTATAATCACAATGAAAATTCACTACTAGAGCTGTTGTAGAAATCAACAATATTTAACTATGTGGTTGGCATATGTGTAGAAAGGCTCTTTTATATGATGGAATGCCATTTAATAATGACTAATCAATAACCAACTCACCGGTGATTCGTTATTGTCCAACACATTAACAGAAAGAGTTGCTGTAGCACTGAGACTGGGACTACCACCATCATAAGCTACAACTTTAACCACGTGTGATATCTGTTGTTCAAAGTTTAACCCAGCCTTCAGACTAACTTGTCCAGTTGAATTAACTTGAAATAAATTCTTGGTAGTGACACTGTTAGATTCTGAAACAATATGTTGATAAAGCAATATCAGATCTTGTGTTTTTAGTAAAATGGAGAAACGATGAATGATGGAGTAGTCAGTGAAATAAAGCAACCCACACAATAAATGTATTATCTAACACCTTGCAAAATACACGTACAATGGGAAATAAACAGACATATTGCCAAGAAATGTCTGCGTATCACATAGTCATATTGGAACCGTGTTTTCAGACGATAATAGGCTTTACTGTTTGGATTGGTAAATGCACTAATGTATTTCCAAAACGTCAAGGCAAAAATATCAAGGAATCTACACAATCTTGCATTATATAGCTATACTATTTCTAGAACCAAAAGCCGAACAATCGATAATGAAATTTTTAAATAATATCCCTAAATATCAAGAAAAACAAACTGGACGCGTTTTGAATTTTTTTACCTCAATATCTGAACCTGGAATAGCCATTATTATTTTAATAATTCAACTAAGTTTTGATAAAATATAACTTTACCATCCATCTTGAAATCAATTTGTCCATTGGTTCCAGCATCTAAATCGTTACACGTAATACTAGCAACATTTGTTCCAGTGGCTGAATTCTCTAGTACGTTAGCACTCGGACTACCTGGACACGCCTGTGGTACAAGATTGAAAAATGCAGTGCAAAAATGCATGTGATTTAACTATAATTACCAACACAACTGATACACGGGTAGGTTAATGCGACACCAACATCATAAATATAAGCACCCACCAATATTACCCTGGGAGGGGGTGTAATAATCGTGTTACTGCCCTCCCTTGAATTTTGCTCGGGTTGGGGTAAACTAAGATGGAAAGTCATAGTAGATGATCAAGAAAAGTATAAGGCGAAGAATAACTTACTGTGTAGCATTGTCTACGATATCACCCAAGGTAGAAGTGGACGTAAAACTCTAGAAACGAACGAACGAACTGTGTAGCTAAGTGTACTGACTGTCGGCATCGGACCTCACTGGGTTTAGGTTAGGTCTGGGAATATTTGTATCTAAGTCGCGATACCGGATCTTGAAATATCTATAGATATGCGACAGTCTGTACCGTAAGTTCTAGATATATTTGTATCTAAGTGGAGCGACTGTGTCTCTATCTGTAGCAGACAAACTATAGGAGTATGTGTAGCTGCGCAACAATCTGCACTGCAACTCAATTACTAGGTAGAAGCTAAGCTCTAGAGATATTTGTAGCTAAGTGTGGGAGCAGTATGTGCCCAATTGTACTGACTGGGTAGCAGGCAAGCTCTGGGAATATTTGAGAGATATTTGGGGATCACGTGGCTAAGTGGGTAAGACGCTGGCTCGCTAGCCTGGAGGTCGAGTGTTCGATTCCTGCATTGGCCGAGAAAGTTCATTCAGATTTTCCGGCGTGGTTTCCCCGTGTCAGTGATGCAGGATGGAGGTTCTGACAAGGACAGCTGTCTAGTCGTTCGGGGGGAGGGGGGGGCGAAAAACCGAGGTCCCGTGTACACAATGACGTGCACGTAAAAGATCCTTTGGCAGTTGGAATTGGATATAAGAGTAGGCCGTAGCGCCGCTGCCTGGGCAAAATTTCTCTCATAGCACACTGTATGGCGTATGCCCATCTTCATTAACCCAGGTTAGGAGCAGAACTGTAGGACGTTAAACCCCATTTCATTTGAGAGATATTTACCGGTTGGTTGATTATGTAGTTCAATGGTGAAAAATGTAGACCGGATAGAATTACATACGTTTTGGGAATATTTAAAAGAACCGTCCGGTTTCCTCCCACTGCTAAAGACCCCTACGCACAAGCGAATTATTGATATAAAAATAAAATTGAACTATGTGTCAGTCCCGAAATGACTTAGTTCGTGTCGAGTGGGCGTTAATCACATTTCTCTCTCTCTCTCTCCCTCTATCTCTCTCTCCCCATTCTCTCTCTCTCTCTCCCTCTCTCTCTCTCCCCCTCTCTCTCTCTCTTAAGAGACACTTACCGGTGGTTCATTGTTGTCTATTACAATTACTGTGACGGTTGATGTAAAACTAAGACTTGGACTAGCTCCGTCGTAAGCTATAATTTTAACTTGATGAGACGCGTGCTGCTCGTAATCCAAACCAGTCTTTAGTGTAACTTGCCCAGTTGTCATGCCGATTTGAAATGTTGCGATCACGGTGGCGGTGTTACTTTCTAAAATTTTAATCAAATAGAAAAACATTTAATATTAACATACTTAACCAGCTGTGTGATTATATTTTATAACATGATTTGCTATAGTTGGTATATTCCAATTTTGCGCTTTTTTGCAACCGTTAAGATATCGATGGAAAGTATACTTAAACGAAAATAATAAAACGTTCACATACCGTCTAACTTATAATATACCAATCCATTTGTGCCGGAGTCGGCATCTGTACACATAAGATTTCTAACTGATGATCCTGTTGTCGAACTTTCTGGCAATGATACGACCGGATTCCCTGTACATACCTGATAAACAGAAAGACGACAGTTGACTCCATATTAAATCAACATTGATGTCGTTATCTTACCGGAAAATAAACATTCTACCATTGGTACACGAATTGTGTACTATAATGCTTTTCAGTGACATTTGTAACAAGGGACTCGGAGATCGAGGCTAGACATATTCCACAAGTCAAACGGTGACGCCATATTCTTATCTGGAGAGCATGCACAATTAATACTATCGGTGCAGACTGGAATAACCAGACGCCAGAGAATGCCATTCGATTGAGACTTCTGGCATATTTGGCCGAACATAACTGATTTAAAATTAGAGTAAAAACGGAGACGATTGAATGTAAAACAGTTTATATACATTCATATTACATTATTATATGCGTTGCGACCCATTTATGTCCATTTCTAGGTCCCGAATATTAGCGATTTAGCTCCTTTAAATATTACAGTTATACTATATACTTACCGGTGCCTCGTTGGTCTTTAGTACACTAACTATAATAGTTGATGTAAAACTCTGACTTGGACTACCCCCATCATAAGCTACCACTTGAACATCGTACGATTGGTGTTGGCTGTAATCTAATACATCTCGAAGTTTCACACGTCCCGAACTCGCACCAACTTCAAACGTCGCTGCAACATCCGCCGTATTATTGTCTGAAATTATAACAGAACACCATTCAATATCTTATGAAAACGATAAAGATACGTGACTATCTTGATAGCCCAAAAAATATGGACCAATCTGCAAGTAACAAAATGCATTGTTTTTATGTCTGTGGCTCTTCAAACATTATTGAAAGAAAATCATACCTTACTACTTAATGTATAACTAACCCACCCTTTAGCACGTTATACTTACTATCTAATCTATAGCTAATCTGTCCATTAGCACCTGTATCTGAATCAGTACAGGTTAGAGTCCAAACTGGTGTACCTACTGGTGACGCTTCTGGTAACGATACACTCTCACTAGCTTGACATACCTGGAAAATACAATATCGTATAGTTCAATGAAATCCTATTCCGTTGTTGCTTTATTATATTATATTAATAGCAGGATACCCGGCTTCGCTCGGGGGTCATAATTCCGAAACCGGAAGTGGTAGACTAACGCCACCTGGCCTATGTTACTCCACGGTCCGAGCTACCCCTATACCCCAAATTTCAGACTCGGAGCGGACCTAGTGTAGCCGCCAACCCCGAACAGACATACTTCGCTCGGGGGTCATAACTCCGAAACCGGAAGTGGTAGACTAACGCCACCTGGCCTATGTTACTCCCAGGTCCGAGCTACCCCTATACCCCAAATTTCAGACTCGGGTCAGACCTAGTGTAGCCGCCAACCCCGAACAGACAGACTTCGCTCGGGGGTCATAACTCCGAAACCGGAAGTGGTAGACTAACGCCACCTGGTCTATGTTACTCCCCGGTCCGAGGTACCCCTATACCCCAAATTTCAGACTCGGGGCAGACCTAGTGTAGCCGCCAACCCCGAACAGACCGGCTTCGCTCGGGGGTCATAACTCCGAAACCGGAAGTGGTAGACTAACGCCACCTAGCCTATGTTACTCCCCGGTCCGAGCTACCTCTATACCCCAAATTTCAGACTCGGGGCAGATGTAGCCGCCAACTCCGAACAGACAGACTTCGCTCGCCGTTCATAACTCCGAAACCGGAAGTGGTAGACTAACGCCACCTGGCCTATGTTACTCCCCGGTCCGAGCTACCCCATTACCCCATTACTAGGCAGACCTAGTGTAGCCGCCACCCCCGAACAGACCGGCTTCGCTCGGGGGTCATAACTCCCAAACCGGAAGAGGTAGACTAACGCCATCTGGCCTATGTTACTCCCCGGTCCGAGCTACCCTTTTACCCCAAATTTCAGACTCGGGGCAGACCTAGTGTAGCCGCCAACCCCGAACAGACAGACAGACAGTCAGACAAACAACAGTCACAAATATATATATAGACTAGCAGGATACCCCGCTTCGCTCGGGGGTCATAATTCCGAAACCCGAAGTGGTAGACTAACGCCACCTGGCCTATGTTACTCCACGGTCCGAGCTACCCCTATACCCCAAATTTCAGACTCGGAGCGGACCTAGTGTAGCCGCCAACCCCGAAGAGACAGACTTCGCTCGGGGTTCATAACTCCGAAACCGGAAGTGGTAGACTAACGCCACCTGGCCTATGTTACTCCCAGGTCTGAGCTACCCCGATACCCCAAATTTCAGACTCGGGTCAGACCTAGTGTAGCCGCCAACCCCGAACAGACAGACTTCGCTCGGTGGTCATAACTCCGAAACCGGAAGTGGTAGACTAACGCCACCTGGTCTATGTTACTCCCCGGTCCGAGGTACCCCTATACCCCAAATTTCAGACTCGGGGCAGACCTAGTGTAGCCGCCATCCCCGAACAGACAGACTTCGCTCGGGGGTCATAACTCCGAAACCGGAAGTGGTAGACTAACGCCACCTGGCCTATGTTACTCCCCGGTCCGAGCTACCCCATTACCCCAAATTTCAGACTCGGGGCAGACCTAGTGTAGCCGCCAACCCCGAACAGACCGGCTTCGCTCGGGGGTCATAACTCCGAAACCGGAAGTGGTAGACTAACGCCACCTGGCCTATGTTACTCCCCGGTCCGAGCTACCCCTAAACCTCAAATTTCAGACTCGGGGCATACCTAGTGTAGCCGCCAACCCCGAACAGACAGACAGACAGACAGACAGACAAACGACAGTCACAAATATATATTTAGCAGGATACCCGGCTTCGCCCGTGGCCCAAGTTCGACTGGAGCCCAATTCAACCAGGACCCAGATTCGCCAATGGCCCAAATGAAGAACACTATTACTTTTACATTATTACATTGTAGTTTTACACATTATATTTGTATTTTATTAGATTACATTAAAGTACTTACTGGTACTTCATTAACCGGTCCCACATTTACCGTTAGAGTTGCTGTAGAACTTAGACTTGGACTTCCACCATCATAAGCTATGATTATAACCTCGTATGATATCCTTTGTTCAAAATCCAACTGGGCTTTCAGAGATACTTCTCCTGTTGATATGTCCACTTCAAACTTTGATAACACCACGTCTGTGTTTGCTCCTGTGGGTGTGGGAATATAAATATTTGCATGTTTATTTTGTATACAGGGGTTGTTAGTTTGCTTTGACAATGAAATGAAATGAAATGTGGTTTAACGTCCTACTGTTTTGTTCCGACTGGGCTAATGACGACGGGTGTACGCAATATAATGTTTTATGAGGGAAATGTTGCCCGGGCAGCGACACTATGGTCTACTCTTATTCCGAATTCCAACTGTCAAGGGTTCGCTTACGTGCACACCAGTGTGTATACGGGACTTCGGGTTTTCGTACTATCCGAACGATTATACGTTGTATATTTTATGTTGCCAGACCATCTGTCCTGCATCACTGACAAGAGGGGCCACGTCTGGAAAATCCTATTGAACTTTCTCGGTCTACGCAGGGATCGAACACGGATTCTCCAGGTTAGCGAGTGGACGTCTTACTCGCTGATTTACCGTGGCTCCCCGAGTATGGTTGTCGAGGAGATATTACGCCATGTTTCGTTGAACAACATCATTTGGATACGGTAGTGTTGAAAAGACCAATATTAAAACATTTGCACCGAGTGCAATGCAATAGAGATGGCTTAACGGGTGGGGGGGGGGATAACTCTAGCAAGCGACACAGTTACTGGGCAACTGCTGCTCCTAAACATGAAAGGAAGGAAACACGACTTACCATGGATCTGATAATGCACCACTCCGTTTAGACCCGAATCACTATCCGTACAAGACATGGTGTAAAATGGCGAATTCAGGGCAGTTGTTTCTGGGATGCGTATAGAAATACTTTCATTACAAACCTTGAGAATAAAAATTAATTATGCTTGAGTTAAATATTTAATTTAATTTTGTTCTTTTTCGAGTAGTTTTATTTAATGATATACGATATATTGGGAGGGGAATGTTTCCATTTACAAAATACCGGCATAATAATTCGAGAGAGAAAGTGAGAAATGGGATTTAACGTACGCCCGACACAAACCAGGTCATTTCGGGATTAAAATATTGTTCATTTATAGTTCAATAATTTGCTTGCGCCTAGGGATCTTTCGCCGGGGGGGGGGGGGGGAGGGGGAGCCGAAAGACCCGGAGAAAACCCACGAGGTTGGACAGGCGACTCTTCTCCTTTTCACTTACAACCGGGGAATTGGCACCACGCCAGTTGACTCAATGACAGACCTTATGATTGAACACACACGTGCTCACCATTCGGCTGCCCCCTGATTAATTTGAAGAGTTTAGTTTTTCATCCCATACGAACGACTAGGAGTTGTTTGTTACCATGGCACCTGTCACCTGTCCTCTACTACAGACAAGCGGAAACCAAGGTAGCACAATCCCGATAAACTTTCTCTATTAGTATAGTAAGTGCAGGAGGACCGCACTACACGTAAAATAAAAATCTACAAGATAAACCTGCGAACAAGACAGAAAATAGACATTGCTCCAAATAAACAAATATCAAATAAAGTGAATGGAAGACCAAACAGCTCTTTATTCAGTGTTCTGAATTCATATTCCTTAATTCTTATTTCTTCATTTGTCTTTGTATTTCGACATTTGTACACTAAAATTTACTTGTATCTTAAAATCTCTCTCTCTCTCCCTCTCTCTCTCTCTCTCTCTCTCTCTTAAAAAGAGGTAATCAGAAGATCTTTACCGGTGCTTCATACACTTCTAAAACATTAACTGTAACTGTTGCTGTTACACTGAGAGTAGGAGCTCCGCCATCAAAAACTAATATTCTAACATTATGTGACGATTGTTGGTAATCTAGTGTTGTTTTTATCTTTAATTCACCGGTCGATTCCACCACTTGAAAACTGTTCCAGGTTATCGGGACATTTGATCCTAAAAACATACGTCTTGCTAAAGTATTATTGGTTAATTATTCACTAATTACTTTTAGAAATGTAAAGATTCGTTAGTCGTTAGGTATTCGTAAATATTCGCTAATTACTTTTAGAAATGTACAGATTTGTTAGGTATTCGCAAATATTCGCTAATTACTTTTAGAAATGTGGAGATTCGTTAGGTACTCGCAAATATTCACTAATTACTTTTAAAATTGTACAGATTTGTTAGGTATTCGCAAATATTCGCTAATTAGTTTTAGAAATGTGGAGATTCGTTAAGTACTCGCAAATATTCACTAATTACTTTTTAGAAATGTACAGATTCGTTAGGTATTCGCAAATATTCGCTAATTACTTTAAAAAATGTGGAGATGCGTTAGGTATTCGCGAATCTTGGTTGCTGGCTATCCTAAGTTGGTGTGCAGCAACTGTGAAATTATATTTCGAATTCGCGAATAAGTGAAGCGACGGTAACTACCTTTCGCCGCCGCGAAGTCAAAAGTGAAACTGTATTTCGTCGCCGCGGAGTCATATGTGAAACTGTATTTCGTCACCACGACGTCAAATGATCGTGTTTTCTTGCAAATTTTTTAAGAGAGCCACAAATCCCGATAATATTTTATATAATAAAACTACTTAATTTTGTGTTAAAATCCCATAAAATTCTCTACCTTAGGGCCGAGAAACTAACTCAACATATGAGATACGTTTTCAAACAACTTAAACCCGTCAGTCTTTATCTGGAAATGGAGACTGGTGTCCTAAGCTGTATTAGGCGCTGTCTGGATAAAACCAGACTATTATTTTATAAAAACAATGTGTAGGTGAAATTTACCTTTCGTTATCAAGTACAGCACATCATTCATTGTATAGACCTCTAAAGGAACGGAAATCGATTATCACGTCACCTAACGAAGAAATTGACCCGAAATCTTAAAAGGGTTACGTGTCCGGATAAGCAGTTTTGACGTTCACGTCTACACGACTCAATATTTTGAGCTGAAATTTTGAGATACGGTAAATACACCATTCCTTCATACGTACTCAGACTTTTATTTTTGAGACCCTTTTCAAGTCGGGATAATCCCGTTAAGAATAATGAGATTGTACAAAGATTTCGCAGATTTTCTAAACTATTTATATAAAGTAAAAGGCATGTTAGGTCGTTTGAACACCATGTAGTTATGTTAAATATTGAGGTTAACGTCTACGGCAGAAATAAGAAGTGGAAGTTAGTAATTCATAATTGTATACTGTAAAGACGTAGCTCGGCTTTATACTCTACTCACCCCTATCCACTTGAATTGAATACATATCACACATTCGAGACAACAATACTTTTATAAGATAAGTATCCAACCACGAAATAATATTAACTACTTTAAGTTTGCTTGTAATGTTTTGATCACAAATTTGATATGTTTTCAAGGAAGTGTGACATTTTAGTTCTTAACATTGAAATTAGTTTGGAACGACATTTTGTAACAATTTTTTATAAAACGTCTTTGGATTGGCTTAGTTAGACAGACATACGATGCACAGAACAATTCTGGTTTGGAGGCAACAAGCTAAGTTTCTAATATTGGACCGATACTGTCTTTGTGTTTTTTCATTCCTATGTCAATTAGTTATATTTGTCTAGCTACATTAGGCCAGTAAATTAATTAATTTCTAACAATTTTAGAACTTACCGGCCATTCTATAAAACACTTGCCCGCTAACACCCGGATCACTGTCTGTACATGTTATAGATGTAACGGTCGATCCTATTGGTGAATCTTCAGGTACAGTAACCACTCCGATTGCAGGACATATCTAAAACGGTCCATAAATTATTAGTAAATTACAGACATGTCGAAGATATGTAAACATGGCTACATGAGATCGAGAGATTGTTTTTGTATTTCATTTTTATCGATCTAGGTATGTTTCAGACTGATTTAGTAGCGGAGGGCGGAGTGACTAACCCAATAGTTCTCAACATTTCTTTTGCCAACGGCACACCTTGGAATACATGAAAAAATAGCGGCACACTGGTTGAGAATCACTGGACTAACCCTTCAGATGAGACATCTAACGAGCCCCATAAACAAAACAACCCCTTTTTTGTAACCCGAACAATCTCCTAACATATTTCATGGTGTATGCTCTCCTTCATTGTGCGGGTTGATGAAGAAAATAGGGGCGTTCAAACCCCATTATATTTCATTCCCTTCTCAAATAAAGTTCTATTCCTTTAAATAATTCCCTGAATCATCTACAATAACGCTATTTAATACTCGTGTATCCGTAATAAAAGCTATTTCTACGAACATTTTGAGAGTATCCTGCTTAGTACAATTATTTAAATAATAATAAATTTGGATTACCCCCAATTAACGGAATAAAAATAAAGTTGGATTACCGCTCAATTAAGCTCAATTAATGGAATAATAATAAAGTTAGATTACCACCCAATTAATGGAATAATAATAAAGTTGGATTAACACCCAATTAATGGAATAATAATAAAGTTGGATTAACACCCAATTAATGGAATAATAATAAAGTTGGATTAACACCCAATTAATGGAATAATAATAAAGTTGGATTAACACCCAATTAATGGAATAATAATAAAGTTGGATTAACACCCAATTAATGGAATAATAATAAAGTTAGATTACCACCCAATTAATGGAATAATAATAAAGTTGGATTAACACCCAATCAATGGAATAATAATAAAGTTGGATTAACACCCAATTAATGGAATAATAATAAAGTTGGATTAACATCCAATCAATGGAATAATTGCCGCTCAATTAATGGAATAATAATAGAGTTATTGTAATTGACTTACAGGACTTGTGTTTATGACTGTTTGTGATATGACGTCAATTTGTACATTAGTTGATGAAGTACGACTTGGAACACCGCCATCCGAGGCTATTAGTTTAACTTGATACGAGGTCTGTTGGCTATAATCCAATCCACCAATTAAATTAATTTCTCCACTTTCAGGACGAACTTCAAACTTGGATAGGGCAGCTGTATCTCCTAAAACACATTGGAACACGTTTGATAACAATTAAACAGAGAAATAGAGAGAGGGGTAATCGGTGAAAACCCACGAGGTTAGGCAGGCAACCCAATAACAAACCTTTTAATTAAAGGAGCCAAGTCTTTAACTTAATATCATCAACAGTATTTGACATTGCAAACAAGACTTTTTGGTCAATTTAAATCAACATTGATGTTGTTATCTTACCGTCAAAAGTTGGGCTTCTGGTATCCAATATTTAAGACACAATGAAAGTTTTAAAATTGGCACACGAATCGCGTGCTTAAGCGCAATTTCTAATGCAACGACTCGATGAACTAGGCTAAACATATCCCATTGTACATCTAATTGTACATCAACAAAATAAGGTCAGAATACGCTGCCTGACTTACCATCTAAGCTATATGTCAGTTGTCCATTGAGACCAGTATCCACATCTGAACAGTGTACTGTGGTGATTTCACTACTAATAGATGCACCTTCAGATACACTCACTCGTTTACTAACATCACAGACCTACAATAAATACAACAAATAGGTTTAACATCTGACGAATATCACAGACATACAATAAATAATACATACAACAAATAGGTTTAACATATTAGTAACATCACAGACGTACAAAAACACAATTATAAACCTATAACGGTAAATCCATTTGATCTTTGGGGTATATTCTACTTGCGGTCTGAAATTCGGGAGCGGCTTTGGATATATACAGAGGAATTTGGGGTTATTCTTCGGAAAGTTTTTCCATAAACCTGTAACGGGTTATTCTTCCAGCGTAGGTTTCTTTTTCCATAAGAAAACATGATATAAGGTTTTTCTTACGGGAATTCTGGGCTATTCTCATTTTACGTACATGTAAACACAGACGATTTATAAGCAAGATAAAGTCTTATAGTCTTATAGTTTCCCATATTCCTGAAGCAATGGCCCGAGAAATCACTCTCTGGCCATTGCTTGATTGACTTCTGATATTTGAGTTTTTGAGGGCGTGTGTCTATTCTTCCCATTCAATAAAATCGCTCCTAAGTACAGCAACTTTGGACAATGATTTAAGGTATTAAAAAGGTTAAAATATTGTTCGTTTTCAAACAGTATTGTTTACATTGTAGCCGTTTTGACAGCCTCGTTTGTCATGCAATTAGTTTTTCTGCAATATTCTGCTATGCACTGGTTAATTTGGCGTAACAAATTCCGTGAGTTATGTAAACAAATTTGGAGCTCTGTTTAAACCTGAATAATATTGATACGCAGTTAGGTATTGGTTGTTAATCGGACTTATTTGGAACAGAAATTTGCTTGCATTACGACAGTGTTGCGTGGGATTAGGTCTTATAGTAGGTTGAGAGTTTCCTTGACATTCGGGGTTAATTATTACACGATTTTAAAATTACACGCTATTGCTATATACATGTACTGTCTGTTCTGTGTGTAGGGTGGCACGAACTCACTAATCAAGGTGTACCCGATTCGACCCCATTACTACATGAAGTCGGGACTGTTCCTCGGTCGTGATGCCCGAAGGCCCAGTAAATTAAGACATCTAATCTTTTGACAGCATGCTAAAGATCCTCTGGTATTTAGAAATCGAAATGGGTCGCAACACCGCTGTCCTTCATAGACCGTTACATGGCGTATGTCATTCTTCTAATCTTGGTTTGTTTAATCTGTGTGTTTGTAGGGAGGGGGGGGGGGGTGGCCGTGCCAGCTAGAAAAGGTGTCATATTGCAATGATAGAGTCATCGCCGTAAACTTACCGGTGCATCATTTTCATCGTCGATTAAGATGGTAAAGGTAGCAGTGGTAGTGAGGGGTTGAATAGGATCCAAGTCCCAAGCCAGTAGAGTTAAAACATACATCGATGTCGTCTCAAAATCAAGCTGCGTATTTACATATAAATTACACGTTGTACTGTCCACTAACCAATTCTTATAAACACCATCTATAAAAATACAAAACAATTCTTATAAAAATACAAAACAATTCTTAAAAAAATACAAAACAATTCTTATAAAATACAAAACACTTCTTATGAACACCATCTAGAAAAATACAAAAACAATTCTTATAAAAACATCTAGAAAAGTTCAAAACAATTCTTATAAACACCATCTAGAAAAGTTCAAAACAATTCTTATAAACACCATCTAGAAAAGTTCAAAACAATTCTTATAAATACCATCTAGAAAATAAAACAAACAATTCTTTGGAATGAAATGAAATGGGGTTTAACGCCCTACTGTTCTGCACCGACTGGGCTAATGAAGACGGAATTTTATATACACAATCTACAAAACCCAAAACAATTCTTATAATATATACCATCTAGAAAAGTAAAACAATGCTTATAAACAATCTAGAAAAAAAATATTATTTGAAGACAGTCTATTCGTCTATTCGTATGATAAGTAACAAAAACAAAATCAAAACTCATTACTCATTATTTTGCGAAAGCCAATCAACACAACATTTTGTGTACATATTAAGGCCTTAGCATCAACATGGTTTTATGAATATCTACCGTTATAATTAATCTATTGTATGTGTTTTGTACGTTCTTTCCAAGGGATCATTATCTTTTCGCGGTCTGTAAAATCTGTAAATCGTCTAACTTTTCAATCAACATTGTCTATGGAAGCGATTTCATATAAGTATCAATGCTTGTCATTGTATCATTACAGTATATAAATACATCTGTGACCCATTAAGTAATGGTGTTTATTTACCTGAATTTGGCCACCCCACTCTTGTTTGTCCACCAAGTACTTCTGGTGAATCCTTGTCGGTTATCGTACATTTATGAGCTAGGGCGCCTATTGGTTGACGTTCACCCACTTTAATAGTTGATGGTAGATCGTTAATCACTGGATGGTTGTCGTTAACGTTTGTTACAGTAACGGCGACGGTTACTGTGGAGATAAACGCACTGTAACTGTTATCCCTTGCAGTGATTCGCAACTGAAATAAAAGGAATATGTACGGGCTTATTATATGAACTAGTAACCGGTCATGCCGTTATCACAGCCATCTTGCAACTCACACATCAATGCGCAATTGTCAAAAGAAGAAGCAGTCCCTGGTTAATAAATACCGTGTTTGCTACAAAATGAAATGGGGTTTAACGTCCTACTGTTCTGCTCTGACTGGAATAATAAAGACGGACATACGCCATACAGTGTGCTATGAGGGAAATTTTGCCCGAAAGCCGCCCTATGGCCTACTCTTATATCGAATTCCAACTGCCAAGGGATCATTTACGTGCACACCAATGTATACAATAGACCTCGGTTTTTCGTCCTAACCGAACGACTGGACAGCTGTCTACTTGCTACAAATAAACACCCCGTTTCCTTATTGGTATTATTTGAAAAGACATAGAAATGTATAAAACAAATACTTGATGGACACGCAATCATGGAAGTATACGGTAAGCATGTAGCACAGCGATAGGCGAGCTAGGTACGTAACCATACATACTCCATGTTTTATCCTCCATGTGTATTTCGAATCCTTGTGTCCTTGTTGACAGAAAGGTTCATCGAGACTTTCCAGTCACATTTCTCATTATCAGTGATGCAGAGGGACAGAGGAACTGGCAAGGACAGGCGTGTTCAGTTTTCTGGATTGGACGAAAAACCAATGTTTGCATACACATAAAAGAACTGCTGCAGAGTAGACGGGCGGGGGGGGGGGGGTGCCTAGAGTGTCGCGCTTCGAGCTCTAGTTGGTCGGTCACCTCTGGCTTGCAGTCGTGATTGCGATCCCTGATATAAGCGTATGTGGCTTAGAGATAGGGTGTCATGTCTAGGATATCACCTCGGTGGAAGCGGGCGTAAAATACAACTAACTAACAACAACAGAGATAGGGTGAGCCTTCTCAATCTCGCGGGTTTACTCAGGTTACTCCGTTTTCCTCCCACAGAAAAGATCCTTTTAGATGCTACCCCTGCGCGTGCGCTAAGATAAGAAAACTGGTCTGTGATATCATCCTCGGTGGAAGCGGACGTTAAAACAGCAATAGCAGAAGGAGAGTGGGCGGTAAAACCTATATCCGGTTATAACGTGCCTGTCTGGGTAAAACGTCCATGTACGGGTAAAACGTCCCTTATAGCACCCTACATGTCTTCAATGACCCGACTGGTGCAACAGAGCCGCATGAAATACATAGCAATCAATTAATTTTACATTTAGCTCCTAGTAATGATTTATTTAAATCTGATTCAAACACAGATCCTTTTTCGTCTCGTTTTTTTTTATAGTTGAAAATTTCGCTTCACTTGTTTTTACTACACTATATAACCCGCATTCTGAATGATGTGAGGGATTAGCCAATGAAACGGTCTGTTACGGCGAGGTTTTGGCGTGAGGTTCACGGAACTGTGGGTAACCCACTAGAAACGTCAACGTTGACTGCTTAATCACATGTCTGACGTCGTAGGGTCAAAAGCCGCTGGTATGATCTCTGACGCAACCTTCCACTACAACCGGCCCGATCTTCATGTAGTGTAGGATATCGAAATTATAAAAAAAAACGAAACGAAATATAGATCTGCATTTAAATCAGATTGCATTTATTTAAAAAAACAAAAGAAAAAAACTCACGTAATATCTATCTCTTCCATCGGCATTTAATTCTTTATTTAGAACCAGTTGTCCGTTGTTCTCTATTTTAAACTTATCATAGACGTTTCCTCGTAAGATGGCATAGGTCAGGTGATCACCATCTGGGTCTTCACATCCCAAATCATAAACCATCGTATCTTCTGGGATGGACTCGGGAAGTATAGCTGTCACTGCATAACGTGAACAATATGGCATCCCCAAGGCAGCTAGCAATATAAAATAGAACAATTATAATAGGGAACATTTATAACGCCATGATATTCAAGACAAGTCTACTTAGTTAATGACTTAAAAGCATTCCCCTTTGGATGATTAATTATAGGCTTATGGATGGATTCCATTTCAGGGGACCAGGGTTCGATTCCTGCCAGGGTTTCATTGCCACGTCTACTCAACGCACGAAAACCTGGGCCCAGTTCCGAGAAAATTCTTAAAGTAAGCACAAAGTCGTGCTTCACTTTTTCTTACGTAAGACACTTATAAAAATACCGTCCCTAGAAAATTCTCAAGACCATTCTTACGTAAGCGCAAGTCAAGTATAAGTCTAAGCACATTGTGACTGGTAAAGTTTACCATAAACTGAGACTACGATGTTCTTTAACGTCACAACAGCAACTTTGGTATGCGAATTACGTCTTAAATTTGTCGTCTGCTTCATTGACGTCATATATATATGGTTGATTTAGATGCATTTGACATGTCCCCTATAGGCCTCAGATATAAAATGTGCCACAAGATAAAAAAAACGTAGACACATACAAACTAACTGAATAATTGTGAAAGCGCATGATCTTATGTAGCCCGTGTGTTTGTAGCGTATTGTTTACTAATTGGCAAATAAATAAAATGGTTTCAGGGTAGAAGCGAAATTTTCTATAGTATTCTTAATTTCTTCTGGAGAAGGATTTTCTCTGTCTTGTAATTGTCTCTTTGGTATCAAAAGGTGTCGGAAATGCCATCGAATAATTCTACGGTCAGCCATCTTTTTGAAGCAGAAACAGACTTAAGGTTGGTAAGCAAGCCGTATACCTTGCTTGGAACTTGTGCTTAGATTGACTATGTTTAAGAACGAAGTTGTGCTTAAGTTTTTTCTTGGAACGCATAATAACGTTCTTGTGCTTACAATGAAGTCTACTTAAAATCTAAGCACAAGAAAGTTCTTAAGAATTTTCTGGGAACACAAAATAAGGTAAGTTTACTTAAATGCAAAGTCTACTTAAATCTAAGCACAAGAACGTTCTTAAGAATTTTCTGGGAACACAAAATAAGGTAAGTTTACTTAAATGCAAAGTCTAAGAATTTTCTGGGAACACAAAATAAGGTAAGTTTACTTAAATGCAAAGTCTACTTAAATCTAAGCACAAGAACGTGCTTAAGAATTTTCTAGGAATCGGGCCCTGGACTATTGTCTCTCTAACCCTGTGCCCGTTTACACATCGTGCACAGTCAGGTCAGAATTCTCTTACATACGACTGCACACGCAGACTTATGAATAAAAGTGACCACCATGGTGTCTCAAAATGACCAAAATATTGTTTTGAAGAAGAATTCACCTCATTCCATCTGAACCCGACCACCCCAACCAATTACATATCACCACCTGAGAATACAGCATGAATAAACAACGACATGTCATTAACAAACAAAAATGCTAAACCGTCAACAAGATGAAGACTAGTACTATATAAATACATATCTTTACGCAAGGGGTAAACATTGCCCACTATTATAATATACAGACATGTCTTCAAGAGGTAAACTGAACAGTATTATCCTATCAATACATATCTGTAATGGATAAATGGAACACTAATAATATAATCTATATACTATACCTGGTGGTGGTAGTGGGGTACTATTTCTAGTATCTAATGGGTGTGACATGGACCCAGAAATATGGGCTAAATCTGAAATACAAAGTAGGAAATAATAACAATTAAACAATAACATCAAAAGTACAGATTTTCACCACTTTAAATAATGAACGCATAATTATCAACGTCTTAAAAAGGGCAATATGGGAAGTTAGATAAAGATCTGGCAGTTCTCAATATAATGGTTAAAAATTAGATAATGTAAAGAGAATTTGCTGAACCTAGATATTAGCTTTTGAATTTTAGGCCTAGCCTCGATCATTATTACTAAAGTCTCGATTATTCATTTTTGGATTAAATCATCAATGGACGTTGACCCGCAATAGGCAGATTTAGTGTTTTGGTTGTATGGTTTTAGTGTATTGGTTGTATGGTTTTAGTGTTTGGGGGTTTAATGTGTTCATGGAGGTTTCGTTGAAATATAAATTTCGGAAAGCTTGTATCTTTAACACGAATCTGAAGTTTAATGCATCCAGAATCACTGGATCACCGCATTAAGGTCAAACCGGTAGGTGGAAATAAATCGGAACCAATAGGTTCAGAGTATGGACAGTGGTGTTAAACCGATGCAGAGTGATTCACTATAATCGAAAACGGATTCTCTAGTTGTCATCAATTGCATTTAATAAAAGAAGTATATATCCTGACTGAAGTCATATATATATACATTATGGCTTACCCATATTGAATCTACTGGGAGGTTGCGGTATATCTTGAGGTACGTCCGAAACCACAAGACGGACAAGAACGTTGGTAAATAAAGCTGGTGTACCGCCATCTTGGACTTTTATCAATATTTCGTAGTAAGGAACAGTGTGATCGGTTATTCCGGACTTCAGCACCAACGACCCAGTTACAGAATCAATTTGAAACATACTGAATGTACTAGCTGCGTTGGTTTCTAGAAGAGAGAAACAAATAACAAAATAACAATATGTGATTCGCTAGGCCTTATATGTTTAATATATGAGGCTCAGTTTTTTTAGCATGCCTTTATCAACATCACCATTAACATCAGCATCATTATCAGCATCATCATCATCAGCAGCAGCAACAGCAGCAACAGCAGCTGCATTGTTACTATTATTATTTGGAAGCAGTACAATAATGCTCCAGAACAATAGGGGGTTGGATGGCCGAATGGTTAGCGCATGGTTTCGATTCCCCGGTTGTACGTGGGTTTCCTCTCACTGCTACAGACCCCCATGTGCAAGCAAATTATTGAAATAAAATTGAACCATATATTAGTCCCGAAATGACCTTGTTTGTGTCAAGTGACCTAGTTTGTGTTGAGTAAACGTTAAAGCCCATTGCTCTCTCTCTCTCTCTCTCTCTCTCTCTTTCTCTCCCTCTCCCTCTCTCTTCAGAACAATACTAGTCACTAATTGGAGTTGTAATTTTACTAGTAGGCGGGTTGGGTTGCCGAATGGTTTAACATGTGTCAATACCTTCTATAATTCGCTTGCACGTAGGGATCTATAGAAGTAGGAGGAAATCCATCTCACGTACAGGCTAGGATTTGAAACCAAACCACCATCCTCATTCCCATATATCTAACATAAACATATTGTGTCGACTTACCATCTAATGTATATGTTATCTGTCCAGCAGGGCCTGTATCATCATCATTACATGTTAGCTGTGTTAGTGGTGTTCCTACAGCCACACTTGTAGTTGTTGTGGCTATCTTCAGATTCCCAGGACACCTCTATAAATATCAATACAATAATCGTAGTTTAACCCCAAAACCACGAAACCTAGTGGGAAGAAGACCTGATTGCGGGAGGGCTCTTTTTCCCATCTATTGAGTTTGTGTATGTGTGTGTGTGGTGGTGGTGGGGGCATCAGTTATAGATTAACTTCAAAACCAGGTTGGGGGCCTCTTTTTCGCATCTATTTGAGGAGGGGGCAGGAGTCATAGTTTAACCTAAAAAGAGGTTGGAAGAGGGTTCTTAGCATCACCTACTGGGATGTACTTTGGTGGCGCATCCTAATTGTTATCCATTATTCATGTCGGTTCAATGGATATCAACAGTTCTGCCAGGACAGCAGTGTTTTAACCTACTTTACATCGAATTCCAAGGGTTCTTTCACGTGCACACCTAAGAGGACAACGGTGGACCCACACTTTTGATATCTCCGAACGATAAAACGGTATATTAACACCAGTGCGTTATAATAGCTTATATATAATAGTGACGGTTATACTGGCATCATCATTTATAAAGACTTGATTAACCTAGTCTAGATATTTACCGGTTGATTGTCTTGAACATCCTGTATCTGGACAACCAGGGTGGTTAATACACTCCGAGGATTATGAGGATCCAAGTCATACGCCACCATGGTGAGAGAGTAGGATCTTTTAAATGTATAATTCAACACTTGGTTGGTATATAACTCACAGGAATGTGAATCTAAAACCCATTTATTGGCTGCCAGGGAATCTGAAAACATAAATAAATACGTATTTGTGAGTGTTGTGTTCTCTGTATTTGTTCTCTGGGTCTGGAGTTTTGGGTATACGGGCATCTCGAACCAGGGAGTAAGACAGAACTCGTGGCGTTGTACTATCACTTCCGTTTTCTCGAAACTCTGTAAGTAAGCATTGACATGCTCTACGTCTAAATGTATTTGTTAAGGCCAGCTCAATTTTTGTCAAGGTCGCTGAGATGTAAATAAGGTTGGGGCACGTGATTGTTGGCGAGATTGTAGGTTAGGGTTAGGGTAAGCATTGGGGCTAGGTCCCGGGTTATGGTTGGTATTACCGCTAGCCCTGTTTACATCTCGTGACCTATGAGGAAAAATTGAGCTGGCCTTATCATTTAGCACTAACCATGCTCTACCAGTGCACCACCGGGTAAACAGGTAGTTGTAAATATAACAGATGGATACTTTGAATGTTGGGTTTGCTTAAAGCGACCTTGCTTGTAACAATTGTCAGTAATGAAAATGAAACATTTTACTGCAGTTTGCTTCTATTGCCAGCGACCAAGTGATATTTCATGAGCAGCTAATTGGCAATAGTATGCACCCGATCCCGTATTTGTCCCCGGCTAGACGCGTGTTTAGTTTTCTAGTCCCTCCGCCTGTGACACCCACAAGGCGAAACATCCAAAAACAGTAAAGACCAACAGCTGGATCGGGCCGTGGTCGCTATGGTCCTCAAGTCAGTAGGAACTACTGTTAAAAGGGGGCATTCAAATAAACTATAGATACCCAATATAACACACTATACACATCCAATCAAACCCATTATCGATACCCATTCAACACTACAGACATTTAATAAACACAACATAATATACGTTCATTAAAACGCCCTATACACATCCGGCGAAACAACTTTACCTGGTTTATTGAAGTCTACCCTGGTTTGTCCTGCTAGAGTATTGGTAGATAAATCGCCATCGGTTACTGTACAGGTAGCTATACGTGTACCTATAGGTGTTGATTCACTGATAGTTACAGATGAGGATGGCCAGGTAACTACAGGTGTGTAGTTATTATCGTTTTTAACTTCCACTATAACAGCTATTGCAGCCTGACTACCTGATTTATCTGCTACATGAATTTCCAGCTAAAGTGAAATAAAATATAACATGTTTTTGTCTTCTTTGATTGGCATTTAGTAATTGAACATATTAACACAAGGTACAATTTTATGGATACACTCATCTTTATCAAGCTTAGTATTAAACTCAGTAATTAATTGTGTATCCATAAATTGTACCTTGTGTTAATATGTTTTTGTGTTTTGTTTTTTAGTGATTTTTTTAGTCGATCGTAAACAAACAATTTCGAAAACAAAAGCCAACAAAAATCAAATCAAATATAAAATGCTTTGGTTTTTTTTTGTTTTTAGTGATCGTTTTCGTCGATACAAAACAATCGATATTAAAAAGAAAGATATAACAGCTCGTGGAGTAACTATTATTGCTGTAGAACGACAACACCGTAATGGTGGCCGCTAACATCCGTTTTGTTTCAGAACAATACTGAGTAACGATTGTGTCGATTGTTAGATTTTAACGTACCATTTTATGGTCTCCAATGAAGACCTTTCCGACCTGTGTTGAACTCCGTGTCTGCAGTAAAGGGAGATATCATAGCTATAAGCTCGGAAACTGTAAAGTAATCTAGCAGCGTCCAGATGTTGTAAAACTCGCAGTCATTGCTTCAGGAACATGGAGTTTACCATGGGTTGTTGGGTTATTAGTGGTCTAAGGTAGTCCTGTTAGTATTAAACAGCTAAATCGTTATAACTATGGCGTTGTGCAGTTCCGGCAAGAGCACACAGTTTCTATAATTGGTAATATGGGTCGTATGAAGAGAGAATACAGTGAATGTTGTTACATTTAGGTCGTATCTTCCTAACCACGCAAGGTCGGCGTCCATCTGTTGTTAACGTTACACATTCACGAGTTAGTACTGGTTCGGACACTCGACCGGAACTTATGCGGATGCCCATGTTATTGAGGCTAGAGAGGGGATGGATGGCCGAATGATTAGCGTCTGCGCGTTGAATCATAAGGTCTGTCATTGAGTCAACTGGCGTGGTTTCGATTCCCCGGGTCCTCCGGTTTCCTCCCACTGCTAAAGACCCCACGCGCAAGTGAATTATTGAAATAAAATTGAACCATATGTTAGTCCCTAAATGACCTAGTTTGTGTCGAGTGAACGTTGTTGTTGGCGAGATCGTAGGTAAGGGTTAGGGTTTGGATTAGCGGTAGCCCTGTATACATCTCGTGACTTTAACCAATCTTAAGTTGGCCTTATCAAATAGATCTAACATTTAATTGTGGGCTGTAGTGACGACGATATCTGTCGTATATATTAGAGTGAAGTGTTAAGGGAGTGTAAGGGTTATTCATTTAACCTGTATTACAACTCTTTCACTAAACAAATCTCTGATAAAATGTTTGGTTTAAAAACGAAACATATGAAAATAACTTACTTGAAATTGATAAGCTATCTCGGGTGTAAATTTCTTGGCGAGTTTAAGAACGCCATCTTGTATCTTAAACTGGTTGTTATCGTTACCGTGTGTAAATATAAAGTTGAGAATATCATCTGGATCAGGATCTACACAGTTTAAATGTACAATAGAATAATCTATAGGTACCGTTACATTTACCGTTACATCATGATACCCTGTACAGGTAGGTGGGGCACTATACACCACTGAAAATAGATAATAGTAAAACCCGTTACAAATCTAAAATGCAAGATGGGGGCGTGGGGCGGGGGGCGGGAGGCGGGGTGTACTGTCCATTTAACAGGAAATGAAATAAACTGGGGTTTAACGTCCTACTGTTCTGCTCCGACTAGGCTAATGAAGACTCGCATACGCCATATAGTATTATTATATTATAGTATGCTATGAGTGAAATTTTGCCCAGGCAGCGGCACAACGCGTAACGACCTACTCATATATCGAATTCCAATTGCCAAGGGTCTTTTACGTGCACGCCAATGTATACACTGTACCTCGAGTTTTCGTCTCATCCGAATGACTAGACGGCTGTCCTTGTCATGCCCTCCGTCTTGCACCACGTCATCCCGATGAACTTTCTCGGCCAATGCAAGGATCGAATACGCGACCTCCGGGGTAGCGAGCCAGCGTCTTTTTTTTTCTTAGTAATATTTATTCACAGAAAGACATTAACACATTACATGTTCATTGCGAATATAATCGTAATTAATCATTAATCAGACAGCTATTTACAATATAAAAACTTTTTTTTTGTTTTTGTTTTTTTTTTTCTTCTTTTGTGCGTTTCCTTAAAACATTTCAAATTTGTGGGTTTTTTGGGTTTTTTTTTAACTATATTAAAAAAAAACCTTATAAAATATATAATTTACAATTAAGAGATTTATTATGTACATCAAAACTAGGTTCAAAGGGTAAAAAATGATTCGTCAACTAAAGGTTATCCCGCTTCTTAGAAATGATTTACAGGGTTCAGGAAAGTCATCCGAATTCGAAGGATCTTCGTTTAGAAAGATTCTTCTATTGTTATTTCCTGTTGAGGTATACTAACCGTGGCTCCCCCATTTAACAGTGATTGAGTCATTTAAAACATGAGACACGACTGATGCTGTTAAAGAATGAAGTTATTGTTAAATGAACTCTGTCAATAAAGATTGAAGGAATGATAGATACGAATATACTTCCTTCTTTCTCTCTCTCCTTTTGATTGACCATTTTTATTTAATTATTTTTGTTTTACTTTTTGGTGTAGAAACGAGGGTTTCAGTTTCCATTTCTGCCAGTTTTAAAAGCTTGTAAATACTAAAAAATGTGTTAACATCAAATACAAGTAGAAGATTTCTCATTTCCACATCGAATAGTCACAAATACATCGAATTCCAACAGTCAAGGGATCTTTTACGTGCACGCGAAATACAGCGGTGTGATTCCACGTAGTTACCGTATATATAGATGTGTGTGTGTGGGGGGGGGGGGCTCAAGAGAGAGGGAGAGAAAGAGAGTTTAACGCCCACTCCAACAATCTAGGTCATTTCGGGACCAAAACGGAGTTCAATTTTATTTCAATAATTCGCTTGTGTGAAGCTACGGGTCTGTAGCAGTGGGACGAACCCTGCTAAAGACCCCTAAGTGCAATGTGCTGTGTGCTGTGTGTGTCTCTCTCTCTCCCCCTCTCCTTCTTCTCTATCTCTCTCATCTTGTATTAATAATATAATCTAATCTCACCTTTCACTATGATTCCAATCAATATTATATTAAACCATCCCATCTGTTGTTCTAATAATTCACACCAAATAAATAATTTAATTCAAACAACGAAAACCAGAATATTCTTTATAAATCCACACCAATTAGATGATTTAAATTACACAGCGGAAACCAGATTATCCTTAATAAATCCACACCAATCAGATAATTTAAATTACGCAGCGAAAACAAGATTATCCTTAATAAATCCACACCAATCAAACGATTTAAATTACGCAGTGAAAACGGGACAATTATAACAGTATTTATCCAACGTCAAAACTGCACAAGTATTTTCTTTTTTATTCAAAATGAAACCTTTCTATTCAAATTCCTAATACTAGTAAGTTCTACTTCATAATAATCATTAATAATCTACGTTTCTTTAAATAGTCTTAATTTACAATAAATGTTTTTAATATAACCACATTAACTGGTCCAAATCACATATTAAAAGCAAGTTATCCATATACGCATAGCCTTGATGTCTTCTAGAACCTATACTATATCATTAATCCATTCATGTTGAAAGTAAGGCACTCCAAACGTAATAACTAGTGCTTAGGCGTTGGCTTATTCAAACTCTTAGTAGTATCATTATACTGCATATAGGCTAGAAGGTTTTATAGTATTATATCGATCACTGATTCTATTGATTTTATTGTTCGATCTATAAAGATTTCTATTGACGTTATAAACACTCGGGCTTTCAATCAAATTGTGAGCAATAAAAAAACTTCTTTAGTTAGATAATGAAAAGAATACTATTGTGTCGAGGTATGTCATTATAGTGAAAATATCTTTAAAGAAACGACACGAGACCCATCCTACTAAAACCTTCTTTTACAAATGAAGCCATAAAAATGAATGGTTTCGAATCCCCGGTTGTACGTGACAAGGAGTAGGGTCGCTGTCCATCCTCGTGGGTTTTCTCCGGGTCCTCCGGTTTCCTCCCACTGCTAAAGACCCCTACGCGCAACGAATTATTGAAATAAAAATTAAACCATATGTTAGTCCCGAAATGACCTAGTTTGTGTCGAGTGGACGTTAAACTCCATTTCTCTCTCTCTCTCTCTCTCTCTCTCTCTCTCTCTCTCTCTCTCCCATAAAAATGAAATATTATAAATGGCACGTTTCGAAGATAACTCCTACCACGTGCTTTGATCGTCGTATAAATGGATATAATTAAACAAACAAACAAAGCAGGAGTTCATTATCGCCAATCAGTGAATCCACCTCCATTTGTCTAATAAATCAAATTTGCTAAAAGTTAATACAATAGTTGTAAAGTTGTAAAATTCGGGCGATGGTCCCGCACCAACCGAGCTAATACACACGGGCATGCACCTCGCGGTGTGTTATGAGGGATATTTTGCCCAGACAGCGTCACGACGTCCTCTATTCGCCAGTGGTTCTTTTGCGTTCGCGACCTTGTTCCTGACAAGCTGAAACCATGCCTGACCGTTTAGTGGAGACGTAAGCATGCGATCTTGTCGTATATCGTCGGAGAGGATTTAGTTTGCTACAAACATAGTTTAATATTAAACATGTCCGGCTTGTTAAGTTACATTTTGATTTGGACATTCCAATTGCTGTATGATCCCATACCCGAGAATGCTGTATGATCCCATGCGGGGCTGTTTGATCCCATGTCTGATATAGTTGTTTGATTCCCGAAAAGAATCTCCACTTTGTATTAATATGTTTGCAATGTCATGTAGGGGAAGTATGTCATATAATGTCTTTTCCAGTGTATCTTCTCCGCCACCCTTCCGTCAAGTTCCTCCTTCATCGAAACCAATCTAATTAAAATGCAGATCTATATTTCGTTTCGTATACTTTCCATGGCCTCTACTACATGATGATCTGACTAGTTGTGGTGGGAAGTCGCGTCAGCGGTCATACGAGCCGCTTTTGACCCTATGACGTCAGACATTTGATTAACCAATAAGCGTTGATGTTTCTAGTAGGATACCCACAGTTTCGTGCATCGCACGCCAAGAACTCGCTGCAACAGACCGTTTCATTGGCTGATCCCTCACATCAACCAGAACGCGAAATATATAACAACTCTTCCAGGTCCCAGTGTAGTAAAGACAAGTAAAACGTAATTTTGAACTATAAAAAACAAAACGAAATAGGATCTGTGTTTTAACCAGATTGAATCTAAACCAGACATTGGTTATGATTTAAATGGGTGTCGAATCACCCACTTTAAGAGTTGTATTCATCAAAGAAAAATATAAACACGCTTTGATGAATGGGTGTTGAATAGAATAGATTATATATTAACTTGGTTTTCATGATATATATAATTGTTAAATATGGTGACATATTGAGTGTTTAATCCAAGCTAACCCGGGTCAAGCAGAAGAATTAAATCTCTCTTTTGTCCCGGTTAGAGAATTGAATCAAATACAATACAGATAATTATATGGGAGAAGCATAGAAACAGTAGAAGTTTCTTTTACTTAGCTTTAATTTCATAAACTACACTGACGTCGCGTGTCATACATCATATCTAAATAAAACGCAAATATCAAATATATTACATGTCTCTAGAAAATGCATGAATACATTCTTTTACTTTAGCTTTAATTTCATGAAGTATACTGACGTCGCGTGTCATAATACATAAACATCATATCTGAATGAAATGCAAATTGCAAACTTATTCTACATGTCACTAGAAAATCCATTAACACACATTATTGAGAGAGAGAGAGAGAGAGAGAGAGAGAGAGAGAGCTTAACGCAAGTGTGTACGCAAAAATACCTCAATTTTAATCCGATACAATTTTCCTCAATGTCTTACCCATTGAGTCATCATGAATACCTTCATTTTCCACTATGCCGTTACTGACAGGTGTATATTCATTATGGGAGTAAGGTAAATCTTATCTTATCTTATACACCGTATCCTGTCGTATACAGTCGGACAGTTTGTTAACTACACAAACACCCTTGTTAATATATGTGAACCCGCCAAATGATAAGTGATATCAGATGTTCCAGTAACTCAGCACACCTTACCTCGTGTACTACACTACAGTCATCACTAATTATAGTTATGCTAAGTACAGCTAAGGTTTGGACATTGACTGCAGAAACCGAAGCTTGTCAGGTTTGCCGTACTCAACAAAATAACATTTACTCCAAAACCTTATCACAAAGGGTGGGGATTGATGATCGAATGGTTTAACGATTGTCCACTGGATATAAGGTCTTTCAGTGAGTCAAGTGGCGTGGTTTCGATTCCCCGTTTGAACGTGACAAGGAGTAGAGCCGCCTGTCCAATCTCGTTGGTTTTCTCCGGGTCCTTCGGTTTAATTGCACTGCTGAAGATCCCAAAAGTTAATTAATGACATATAATTGAACCATGTGTTAGTCCCGAAATGACCTAGCTTGTGTCGAGTGGACGCT